TCTGATGAGATTTGATGATGATGATAGAAATCTGATGAGATTTCCAAGAACCAGCTTTTAGTTTTGTTGATTTTCTCTACTAATTTCCCATTTTCAATTTTATTGATTTCTGCTCTAATTATTTTTTCTTTTCTTTCCTCCTGCTTACTTTGGACTAATTTTGCTCTTATTTCCTAAGGTGGAAAGTTAAGTTATTGATCTTAGATCTTTCTTCTTTTTTAAAACATGCGTTCAGTGCTGTACATTTCCCTTTAAGCACTGCTTTTGCTGCGTTCCACAAATTTGGTAAGTTGTGTTTTCATTTTCATTCAGTTCAAAAGATCTTTAAATTTTTCTTGAGATTTCTTCTTTGATTCATGTGTTATATAGAAGTTTGTTGTTTCATTTCTAAGTATTTGGGGATTTTCCAGCTATCCTTCTCTTAGTGACTTCTGGTTTAATTACATCTTGACCTGAGAGCAATGTATTCTTTTGATTATTTTAAATTGGTTAAGGCATATTTTATGGGCCAGAATGTGGTCTGTTCTGGTTATTGTTCCATGTGAGCTTGAGAAAAAAAATGTGTATTCTGTTGTTATTGAAGTAACTCCCTAGAAGTCAGTTGTTGACTGATGGTTTGCTGGGCTCAACTATGTCTTTGAAGAGATTCTATAGATAAAGATTGAACAGAGAACAGAAAGAGTTGAAAATTAAAATAATGGGATCTTAAAAACAGTTCCAGAGAAGAGCAGAAAGATAAAAATCCCTCAGACAGAAAGACAATGTGAGAACAGAGAGAATTAAAATAGATGATCAATCCTGTTCTCTCTGGAATTAACCATTTATCAGGTGCTGGGTTTAATGAGAATTCCAGAGTGAACAGAGACAATGGGAAGAAATCATCAAGAAAACAAGTTTGTAGAAGTGAGGGATATACATCTCCACCCTACAGCACAACAAATAATGACACACAGTAAGGCACATCCTGACATTTCAGAACCTCAGAGAAAGAGAAGGTCAGGAGTAAAAATGGTATGAAACTTCTCAATAGCATTACCAGAAATCTGAACACAAGGGAATAACTGCCTTAAAAATGATTTTTTAAAAAGATTTTTATTTGTTTATTTATTTGACAGAGATCACAAGTAGGCAGAGAGGCAGGCAGAGAGAGAGGGGGGTAGGCAGGCTCCCTGCTGAGCACAGAGCCTGATGCGGGGCTTGATTCCAGGATCCTGAGATCATGACCTGAGCCGAAGGCAGAGGCTTTAACCCACTGAGCCACCCAGGCACCCCCAAAATGATTTTCTTGTGTGAAATTATTTTCAACTTCTAATTTTATGACCTGCTATCACACATGGATGAATGGAATAAAGATTTTTTTAGACCATGTTTTAAAAATGTTAAGTCTAGACTTTTTAGAGAGTCTCTAAAAAGTCTTTAAAAAGTCTAAGACTTTTTAGAGAAGGTACTTGTGGATATGCTTCACCAAACGAGGGGTAAAAGAACTATGAAAGATGAAGACACGGGGCCTGGGAACCAGAGGATCTAGTCAGGGGAAATGCTCTGCAGCAGTTTTAGGGAGCAAGCAGTTCTCACTGAGGCAGGGGATGAAGGAAAGTGTCCAGAAAAAAAGAACTGTTAGACTGGATGGGGGGAGAATGAACAATTGGTATATACAGAAAAGGAAGCAAAGGAAAGAAAAAAAAAAAGGCAATTGTTAACTCCATGAAAAATTCAAAAGTAATTTAATTATATCCCAATTTTTGACTCTACATTGAATAACTTTCACATAGTAATATAAATAGCAATTTAAACAGTGAGTATTAATTTACCTAAAAATTGGGGCAAGAAGGGAGCAAAGTCCTGTCACAAGGGAGCTAAAGGCTCATCTGTTAGAAGAGAGCCAACAGTGTCTAGAATGAGAAATCAAGCAAGAGTAGTATAAGCAAATATATATATATATTTTTTTTAATTTTTCATTTTTTTCTTAGAACAAGAGCAGGGGGCAGAGTAGGAATAGAGGGAGAGAGAGAATCTTTTTTTTTTTTTTTTAAGGATTTTATTAGCGAGAGAGTGAGTGAAAGAGCTCAAGCAGGGGGAGGAACAAAGGGAGAGGGAGAAGCAGACTCCCTGATGAGCAGGCAGCCCGATGTAGGGCTTGATCCCAGGACTCTGGAATCATGACCCAAGCTGAAGGCAGATGCTTAACCAACTGACCCACCCAGGCGCCTGGGAGAGAAAGAATCCTAAGCAGACTTCTTGCTCAGTGTGGAGCCCAACACAGGGCTCGATGTCCTGACCCTGAGATCATGGCCTGAGTCAAAAATCAAGAGCTGGATGCTTAACCAACTGTGCCACCCAGGTGCCCTGAAGCATATTTTTAAAAGATTTTATTTATTTATTTGATAGAGATCACAAGTAGGCAGAGAGGCAGGCAGAGACAGAGAGAGGGGGAAGCAGGCTCTCTGCTGAGCAGAGAGCCCGATGTGGGGCTCGATCCCAGGACCCAGGGATCATGACCTGAGCCAAAGGCAGAGGCTTTAACCCACTGAGCCACCCAGGCGCCCCACTGAAGCATATTTTTAAAAAATAAATAGCTAATGGGGCGCCTGGCTGGCTCAGTCAGTGGAGCACGTGACTCCTGATCTTGGGGTTGTGAATTCAAGCCTCATGTTGAGCTCAGAGAAATCACTAAAAAAAATAATAGCTAAGAGAACTGAAAATGACTGTAGCAAGGGAGCAGTTGTGGGTAATGGGCAGAGGCTATTTTCTTGTAAACTAACTCCATAATTCTAAGTAGGTACGTTTTTAGAAAAATACTTTTTACAAAGATACCAACCCTCGTCATCCCCAATGTCGACAGCCTCCTGAAGCTCTGACTAATGAGGGCCCTGGGTGGCACGCACCGCCTTGGTTTCCTGTTGCTCCACTTGTCCACAGGGACACAGTTCACACAGGTACGTCGTATCACATCACACAGACTCTCAAGAGGCGCTGGGCTTTGGAAGTTTCTCCACTTTCCTCATCATGAAAGAGCTACGAACAGAATCCAGATCAGACTTTCTGTTCCAAGTTCACAATCATCCCTTGATTGGGCTAGAAGAGAGTCTACAGTCACGTCGCCCAGCACACAAACCCTGCGAAGAGCTAGCCCCGTCCCAGGGATGAGGGGCTCATTTCCTTCTAGAGCAGGTCTTTCCAACTCTGCTAAGCTCTCTCAGGAAGTTCTTCAGGTTAAGTTGAAATCCCTCCGTCTGACAGTGACACTCCCTGTGTTTCTCTCTCCATTTCCGGGTAAACCTCCTGCTTGCTCCAACTGTGCCCCACTTGACTCCATCTAGAGACCCTTCACCGTTCTGATCCAACTGATCTATGTCTGCGAGCGGCCAGACTGTGCACAGAGGAGGGGGATGGGCTCTCTCTTTGGTCCAGACCTCATGCTTTCTCTTAAGTAGGCGCCACACCCAGCACGGATCCCAACGCAGGGATTGAACTCCCCACCCTGAGATCAAGAGTACGATGCTCAACTGACTGAGCCACCCACGCACCGCCCCCTCCCCCCACTTGCTTCTCTTAACCCGGCCCCAGAATGCATTCCTTGGAAGGGTTAGGGGGTGGGCTGTGAGCTGTGGATGCCAATCCCTCACTGGTGTCCTGGACACGGAGGCCACTGCCTGGGCACAGCAGTTAGGTTGGGTCCCTTGGTATCAAGGGCCAGAGCTCTACAGTTATCCTGTCAAATATCTCCTTTCTGCAGTTGACTCATTTCCTCTAGAGGGGCTGCCCAACTCCCAGGATGCCAGGGCTGAATCTGCTCAAACTGCCTCCTTCTGCATGTGGGGAAAGCAGCCCGGAAGGGGTTGGTTCCTTCCCACACGCCTGAGATACCTACCACATGGGAGGCTGCTCCTGGTCAGAGAGAGGAAGATCCAGGTCCTCAAGGGGCAGGGTCCTGGCTCACAAGTGGCTTGGGGTGGCCCTGGTAGCACCAGCCTTGCAGAGGGCTGAGAGGTGGGCCAGGCAGACCGGCCAGGGCTCCAGGAGGTCCCGAGGGCCAGGACTGTGGGTCTCTGGTCCTTGTCTAAACATGTGCCTTCCCTCAGGGTTAAGCCGCACTCAGCGCCTCCGGCCCATGCCCTTCCCAGCTTGTTCTCTCACCCGACAGCACTGCCCAGTGAACTTCCCACTAACATGACTGATCTGGGCTCCCGGGCACAGAAGAATCATCTGGGCTTCTGCCTCCCGTGCACCTCCCCAGGACCCCAGAAACGCCCGTGCACCCCAGCCCCACCTCTGCTCTAACTGAGCCTTCTTCTCCTGGGATGCCCTTTCTGGGCACAAACATCCAAATCAGGACAGCAGCTGTGTGGGCTCCAGAAGCCTGGTGGGGGGGGGGGGTCACTAGCTCCCCTGCACGGGCCCTCTATGCCCTCCTGCACCAGTTCCTCCCTTGGGTATCGTCACAGAGCATCACAGGCCCGAGACCTTGGTTAAGCCCAAATTTCAGGAAAGCCCCCTGTGGGGAGCCAGCCACTCCCTGGGCCCCCTGAATAGAGAGAGGAAGGTCCCTTGTTTAGCTCACAAGGAGAGATCGGAGAACGTGATTTGCCTGTAAGCCGAGCTAGGCGTCAGCCAAGCCTCTAGGACCCCAGGCAGCAACAGGGGGCTCAGTCTTGCTCAAGAAAAAGCCTCTGATTATCCCAGGTCCGGCCGTAGCCAATTCGGCCTCGACCTGCAGCCACACGAGTAAATGTGTCTAAGGAAAGCAGCGAAGGAGAAGGCTGGGCCTATGCCCCTCCTCTCGCCTTTACCACTTCAGAGATCCTCCTTCAGACTTGGGTGTGATTTCTGGAGAAAAGTGGGGAGATGGAGGAGCAGCAGGCGTCCAGGGGGCAAATGCCTGGGATTTCCTGAAGGGAAGGAGCTGGGCCTCCTGGTTCCTCACTGACCTGCTTCTACAGGTCGCCCAGCAGCTAGGTGGGGAGAAACGAGAAGCAAACTATAGCCCCAGCACTGGGGAATGGGCCTGGGGCCACTCGCTCTGTCCACCTCGGTGCAAGGGGCTGTATCTTCCCGGTCCTGATTCCGCAGGGCTCTCAACACCAGTCCAGGGCTCAGGCGGCTGCCAGCCCCTCACTCACAGGCATGTTGATATGGGCACTCAGCAGGGGTGCGCTCTGGCCTTCTCGAAGCACCAGCACCTACAGAGCAAGTGCCCATGGCAGGAGGGGCAGGCCCCTTGTCCTCCCTGCTCCCTGCAAACCCAAGCCTGGCCTGGTCTACACTGGCCCCTGTCACAGGCGACCAGGGCTCTGTTGAAGGGGACTGGGAGGCTGCGATAGCCACCCTGACCCAGCAGCCACCCGGGGGCCTTGTCCACCTCGGTCTCGCTGGCCCCCCATGTAGTACTCTCACTGGCCACTTACCTTGATGATATCTGAGATGCCCTTGTCACTGAGACTCTCCACAAAGGTCTCCAGCGGGTAGCTGAGTCCTGGAACCAGCAAGGGGACCTGAGTTTGGCGACAAAGAGGTAAGGAGATCAGCCCTTGTGCCTGGACAGTGCTTGCCAGATTCCAGGGCGCTCTCACGCCTGCTGCAGAAGCTGCGTTCGCTGTAGCCTGAATCTGAGGGGCAGCACGGGCAGGGCAGGCCCATTCATGGGGCAGGGGATTCAGGGAGGGGAGTAGACGCTCCAGGACCACATGGATGTCCAGGATTAAACCTAGACCTCTTGACTCTCAACCAAGTCCCAGAGTCTTTCTTGGGTTCTGGTCCTCCCAACTTAGAGTCCAATCTGGACCCGGCAGGAAAGCAGGCCCCTCACTGTGGAAAAAAGTCTCCTTGGGGCAGAAAATAGCTTCCTACTGCAGGTGTGGCTGCAAGGCAGGATGGGCTCTGGGATCCCAGCGTCAACGGGTTTCTGAGAGAGGCATAGGTGGGAGCCCGAGTCTAGCTGTTCTCCCAGAACCTTCTGTGTGGCTCCCCGAAACCTCTCTCAAGTAGGAAGAAAAGCAGCAGGGCATGTCTTGGGCATTCCCCCCAGAGATCTCTGCCTTGCCCCAGCCTGGTCTGCGGCTGCAGCCCCCGGCCAGCTCCCTCACCACCCATCTGTTTGCGTCTGCGGGCACCTCCCCAGGCCCCAGCCCGGTCTTTCTCACTCCGTGTCTCAGTGAGGCCCAGCACCTTGAAGAAGGCCCGGGGCAGAGCATAGAGCACCTCGTTGTACAGGAAGCAGACCAGCAGCCCCAGGATGGGTCGGGCTGCTGACGTGTTCTGCAGGTGAAGTGTGAGCTTAAAGGTGGGGCCCAGGCCCTGAACCTGTGGAGAAGGTGGAGTGAGTGGAGAAAGCCCTAGAACCGGCAGCCCTGGGCGCTGAATCCCATGTGCCCTGCCCTCCAGCTTTCTCACCAGTGTCCTCGAGAATCACCTTTTTCCAACTGCTCTAAACGCACTGTCCTGCCCTTCATCCGGGCCCCTCGGAAGCCCAGGAGGCTGGCTCCTCTTTGTACGGGGACCAGCAAAGGCCCGGAGAGGGGAAAGGGCTTGGTTCAGGCCACTCAGTTGTCAGAGGCAGAGCTGGCCTGGGGACGGAAGCCCCAGCTCCCACCTGCGGCCTCACCACCGTCCCTGCCCCTGTCTTCCCAGGCTGTCCCCACTGCCTGCTCTTGTCCTGTGGTGGCCACAATGACTTCTTTTTCCTCCCTCTTAGCCTCAGTTGCTCTGCAGCCTGTTTCCCCCTCCCCGCCTACTTCCTTTAGGGAGAGAGAAATCGGAAACCCGGTTGGGTCAGGAAGCACACCTCCGGGACCCACTGAGCCCCGGCCAGAGCCCAGATGACCTCGCGGTCACTTGTATCCGAGTGCAGGGCTCCTCCTCCTGTGCCTGGGCCAGTCTCAGGACTTCCCCTCCCGGCACCAGGTAGTCCCGACACCTCAGGCTGCCCGCGGGTACTCGAATGAACCGCTTTGTTCCTCGTCGCCTGGCTGTGACAGTCCCTCCAGTGCCGGGAAGAAATGTCCCTTGGTGGCTACTTGCGAAGCCTGGCCCAAATCTAGGGGCTTGCGTGAGGCACAGCATGGGCCAAAGGACCTAGGGAGTCTGGCCCACTCTGCAGCCGCTGAGGAAGAGGCAGCACGGCAGAGAGGAGAGAGGGCGCCTGCTTGAAGGAAGAGACTTGGTCTCTGGGCCTTCGGGGCTGAGACGTAGGCACAAGGCCTTGTGGGCTCTGAATTGGCTCTTGGCCTGAGGGGTTCCCACTCACCCTCAACCTCTGTCCCTCCAGCCCTGAGGTGGCCTGAACACCACCCCCCTGGGGTGTTCACTCACCACAGCGTGCAGCTCGAGGGGCTCCCGGGCCGTCACGGACACAGGGTTCAGGCTGGACTCGAGGGCCTGCACGTAGGCACGGGCGGCCCGGAGGCGCAGCAGGTAGAGGTCGGTCTGGAAGGCCCGGTGCATGGCTGAGGACAGGGACACAAAGGGTTGGTGCCAGAGGTCAGGAGGGTAGGAGGGAGCAGAGGTGGGGGAGAGGGGTCTCCCGCGTGGGCAGCCGCTCAGACACACAAGGGGAAGGCCGGCTCTGCGCGGCAGGGAACGTGGGGAAAGGGAAGACGGAGGTGACATGGCCTGGCCTCCCAGTGACACAGGGCGCTGTGGGCCACACGCGGCTCCCTCCTTCCTGATTTCTGACCACCACGCTGCCCTCACGCACAATCCCAGTCTCCCGGACCGCCCCTGCGATTCTGCCGTAAGGGCTGGTGTCCCCTCGAGTCTTGCCCTCCATCCCCCTCCTCTGGGCAACCCTAACGTCCCACCAACACCTCACACTCAGCACCGCGGAAACCCACCTCATCTCCTTTCCTCAGTCTCCACATCCCCCATCCACCGAGTCACCCAGGTCCTGCCCTCGAGGCTCGTCATTTGCCAAGGCCCGAGGCCCCTCCCTCAAAGCAGTCCCCCGAGCCTGCGCTCCCTCTGTTCCCGCTGGGAATCTTCCAGACTTCTCAGGCTGGTTTCCCAGGCTGATTCTGCTCCTTTCCTTGTATGCGGGGCCTTCTGCTGCTCAGAAGTTTTCTGTCTTTACGGTAGCCCACCATTAATCTTTCCTTTCTCCTCTGGTACTTTTACAACTTATTTTAGTTTACCCAGAATGAATGTGTTTGGTTTGAAGTAGAGTTCTGTTTGGTTTTTCTAGAAGCAAGTTGTCCTAATCATGCTTTTTGGACAGTCTTGCCTCTCCCCACTACTCTAAAACAACACCTTTAACATATATGGACCTTCCACTCGGAGGAGGGTCCGTTTTTGGACTTTCTAGATGTGGCCTGGATCGGCAACAGTTCCCGTAGTCCTACCACCGCTGCCAATTCCTACAGCCTCACAGATCATTCTCCTGATGGCCAGGTCCCCTCATTCTTTAATTCCCCCTCCCCCTGCCAATTTTTAGATTTACTCTTAAAATCAACTGGTCAGGGGCATCTGGGTAGCTCAGAGGTTAAGCCTCAGCCTTCAGCTCAGGTCATGATCACAGGATCGAGCCCTGCATTGGGCTCTCTGCTCAGCGGGGAGCCTACTTCCCCGTCTCTCTCTCTGCCTGCCTCTCTGCCTACTTGTGATCTCTTTGGTCAAATAAATAATAAAAATAAAATTAAAAAAAAAAAAAAACAACCAACTGGTCAAGTCCTCAGAGTAAACCCTATTGGGATTTGCCCTGTAACATGGCTATGTTCCTAGATTACTTCTAGAAGCTATTAATTCATTAATCAACAGCTTTAGGCATTAGGTCCTGCTACCCTGAGCCTTGCGAAGTCTCATCATTGAAATATTCCGGTAGTCTTTTATGTCCTGGAGAGTTTTGTAACTTTCTTTCTTAGACTGCCATTTTCTTGTTAAGTTCATTTCTATGGGTTTTGTTGCTATTGTGAATGGAAACTCTGCATTATATTTTCTGACTGGTTACTGTTGGTATAGACCAAATTACTGATTTTTTTGGTATATTTTACATTTGGTTACCTTAAAGAACTTCCGAATTATTTCTCAAATGTTTCAAATGCTTCTCTTGGATTCTCCAGGCTGTAACAGACTAACTCTTTTATCCTCTAATTTCTCCCTTAAAAGTGTAAACAAGTTCCCTTTATGAGACAGAGCTGGCTGAGTTACTGTATTTTTCTGTTTGACATCCTTCCCAGCCCCCACTACCTAGAATTGACCAAATATCTTAGCTCTGCACTCCAGGCCCTTCGGAGCCTGCTCTGACCTGCCTTGTCAGCCTCTGCTCTGGTCACCTTCTGCTTCTGGTCGCCTTCCTGCACACGCCTGGGACTACATGCAGACACTCCTTGGACCCAGGTAGCGTCCTGTGCCTGGATCGCTCTTACCCACCCCTTTCTGGTGGGTGGACTTGTAATCATTTCAGGGTGAAGGCCAACGTCCGCTCTCTCTGAAGCCTCTCCCAGGCTCCCAGGCCAACTTCCTCACTCTTGTGAGCCCCACCAGGACCTCTTTGCAGAGACCTCTTCTATACCTGTCATGCAGCATGAAATTAGCAAGGGGGACGGAGCTCCTCAGGTCGGGCCTAGCCTATTTCAAGGCACCTGGCAGAACACTGGGCATAATCCCAGGTATTAGATGAATGGAAGAGCGATGCTAGAGCAGGGAAAAACCGAAGAGCAAAAGGAAGAACCCTGGTCCAGTTCCACTTCTCTCGCAAGAATTCCTGCATCTAGAAGCAACTGTTTTCTCCTCCGCATGGATAAGGCGCAAGCCCTCACCCCCGACATCTTCCACCTGGAGGGAGGTATGCAGACAGGGTGTACCTCCTAGGCTCTCTCTGTGCTTCCAGAGACCTGCCTGGCTGCCCAGGTCTCCCAGGGCTTAGGGTACCCAGGTGGGTTCACCTGTTTCTTGCTGCTTCAGAGCCACGAAGAAGGAAGAGAAAAGACCTAGTTTGAGTCTCACCAGTGCCAGCCTCCCGCTCTCGCAGTGTCTGATCCACATAAAGCCGGGTCTTTCGGGGCACACTGAGTTTTATCGCCTGGGCTGGTGGGGGGCCCACCTCACCTCCTGCTTCCACAAACACCGCTGTACGCTTCAGGATCTTGATGATCAGGCCACCGCCTAGGGAAGTGGACACACAGGAACAGATCTGTCCTTCCTGGTCTGTCCTCCCCAAGCAATCTGCCTCAGATAGAGCCATTTCTGTCCATGTCTGTTTTCCTGCTGAGATTCTGGGTTTCTAGAAGGAATACAGTGTGTCTTAACAGTGTCTTACCATTCATTCATTCATTCATTCAGCAGTTACTTATGGACTGTGATGTTCCTGGCATTGTGCAGGCTCTGGGGAGACTGGGGGGAAACTGGAGACACTGCGTCTGCAGGCCTTGCTTCCAAACCCAGGCCTGGCTGGGCATCACAGCCACCTCTTCCTTCCCAGGATCTGGCTCATCACCTTGGCGCCTAACTCTAAAACCCCTGCCCGGCCTGAGTCTGCTCACCCCGTGTAGTCATGATGAGGGTGTTGTCTTCCCGCCCGTAGCGGCCGAAGCAAAGGCTGGTCACTGCATCCTAGGACGGAGACACCAGCGTTTAGGGGGGAAAGCTTGGAGAGGAGAGCAAGACTGGGGTGGGGTGATAAGGCTGGGAGACCCCAGATATGATATAATAAAGAGATTTCAGGTAAGGCCTGGGGCAATGCAGCCTCCCAAATAAGCCTTGTATTTCTCACTGCCTTTCAACCTCACTGCCACAGCCACGGTTTCAGAATAAACATCACCGGACTTCTGGGGTCAGCTTTCTAATAGGCCCCTAGGCTAGTGTTTCTCCCCAGGCTGTCCTTCACATTGCTGCCTTTCAAAAATGTGATCATGTCTATTTTCTGCCAAAAAACTTCCAGTGGCTTTTATCCTTCCCGTTAGAACAATTCAAGGCTTTCCACATCTGACTCCAACCTGCCTTTTCTGTTCTCCTCTACCATTCCCCCAAACCCCACCTCACCTGTCTCCCAACAGCCTGCGGTCCAAACCAGCTGCTTTCAAACTTGACACTGTGACGTAGGACACTTTATATATACCTATATGCAAGTTTCACATCTGATATACTCTGAGCTTTCTTTTTTCTGTTGGTGGTTGTGACCCATTAAATGAGTTGAATAAGTCACAACTCAGTGTCTGAAAAACTCTGGTCCAAACTCATCAAGCCACCTGGATTCCTTAATCAAGAATACTTATGCCTCTCAGCCTTTGTTCATGCTGTTTCTGGTCTAGAAGTTTCTACCTCCACGTACCCACTTGCCAAACCGTTTTGAGGCCCAGCAGAATTGTCACTTGCTCTGGGAAATGACTTGCGAGTTCCACCCCATGCTTCCCCACCACCCCAGTCACCAGGCCCCCTGAGCTCTGTCAGTCCTCTGCTCGGCTTTAGTCTCGCTTGTATTTGAATTAGCTGTGTCTCTGGTTGGCTGTCACCTTAGATTATAAATTCCCCGAAGGCAGGATTTAGACATCATTTTATCCCCAGAATACAGTGAGTTATGCTTATGAGATGTTCAACAAATGTTTCTGAAAGACGTCAAGGGACACCTGGGTGGCTCTGTTGGTTAAGCATCTGCCTTTGGCTCAGGCCATCATCTTGGGGTCCTGAGATCGAGCCCCGTATTAGGCTCCCTGCTCAGCGGGGAGTCTGCTTCTCTCTCTCCCTCTGCCTGCCTCCCTCTGACCCCCGCCTCTGCTCATGCTCATGCTTTTTTTCTCTCCAATAAATAAATAAAATCTTAAAAAAAAAAAAAGCATCAAAAGTCAAGGCCATCAGGTGGAGAGGGATCAGGAGAGGCAGCTAAGATGTCCCAGAGGTGGGAATGGGGGGCAAACAGGAGTGAGCAGCTCACCGGGGTGCGGATGACATTCAGCAGGGCCTTATCATGGTAAATGCGGACTTCTCCATTGGCCAGCCCAGCCATGACGGCCTGCAGGCCCCGCGAGCGCTGCTCTAGGAGGTTCATGGTCAGGATGGCTGCTGGCATCTGCACTGTCCACAGCTTCTTACCCTGGGAGGCAAGAGCTTCTTAACTTGGGGGGGTTCAGGGCACGGCGTGGAAAGAAGGGGTGGCTGGAGTTGCAGGGAAAGGGACGCCAGAAGGAATCTCTTGCTGAAGGGGAGCCAGGGAGACACACGTGGACGGGGTGGGGAAAGCCACACCTTGTGGGTGAAGCCATGCAGGCTCTCTTGGGTGCTGCCGACCACCAGGACCTTGTGTACCCGGACGAGCCCCACAGGCTGGGCGCTCAGCTCGATGCAGTACTTGGGGCGTGTGGAGTCTCTGTGGGATAAAGACACACTCTCCAAGCCCCAGAGAAACCTTCTCTCCTTCCCTGGCAGACCCTCCTCTTTCTAAGCCTCACCAACTATCCCAGAAGGAACCTTGGCCCCAAAGGAGATGACAGTAGTATTATTTCCACCTTTACCACTTAGCCCCTGTGTGACCTTGGATAACATAAAGTGTGTTTTCTTTCCCCGTCTCCCTGCTGCCTTCATTGCAGTGATCTGTGTGAGAACCTGGCCTTGAACAGTTTGCCGTGAGTGTACCTTCGGCTAGACGAGCTGCTAGAGGAGGCAGCTCACCAACTCATCAGAAATGCGTGAGTAGTCTGCTCTGTGTAAATGCCCTGTTTTTGGTTTCCTGGCTTCTGAATCTTAGTTTCTCTTATCCAGAAAGAAGGGGTAATTCCAGCCAACCAATCAAAGGCTATGGCTCCCCTTTCTTCATCACCAAGTCTGATGATCATATCCCATCTGAAAGCCTCCCTCTGGTCTCTGGGCCTCCTTCCAATCTACTCTCCACGCAGCAGAGCAATCTCTTAAAAATATAAATGGCTCGCGTCATTCTTCTGATTAAAACCCCATAATAGTTTTCAAATTCTAAATCCTTACCATGTCCTAGCAGGGCCATGCACGAGTCAGACCTGGTCTCCGCACACCTCTTTCCACCCTCCTCCTTGCCCATCAAGCTTCAGGAGCACACACCAGTATCTTTCCCATCTTGAATTTGCTTAAGTTTTCTCCGCCTCCCAACACTTCTTCCCCACTTTTCGAACACGTGGCTCCTTCTTAACCTTCCACATTATCTCCGCAGACCGGTGCTCATTGAGCTTGTATTTTTCCTCCAAAGCACGCAGGGACTACACTTATATCATTTAACAATACATCAATACATCCCTGATACCATACATAATGCTTAATACATAGTGGGTGCTCAAAGATATTTCTGGAACTGGAAGACGAATGTTGTAAGGAATATCAACCTAATGCGCAAAGACACGTTCCGTACCTATAAAGCCGGACGGCCACAGGAGGCTATTTTTACTTCTTACCATCTCTGGTGGTACCTCTCATGTGTTATAGCGGCCCTGCCCAGTCTCTCACTTTGCCGGTCCCCATCACACAAGCCTCCAGATGGCCCCCTACGCACATGAGCTCAGCCTTCTCTGTCAAGTTCCCAGCTGGGGAGCTGCAGTGGAAAGAGCTTTTCCACTCCCGAATACCAGCTCCAAAGCCCCTAAAACCACCGGGGTTCTGAGATGCTCCTCTTGGCCCCAGAGACCACGATGCAGCTACCTTCTCAGGATATAGATGTTTCCGTTGCGGCAGGCGGCGGCAAGCCGGAACTCCACATCGAATTGGCCAGAAACCTCCAGGAAGACGGGCACACTGGGTAGGCTCATCTGCAAAGGAGAGGCTCAAACATTCCAGTTTTCCTGGCACCCCTGTCCTTCCTCACCTTGAAATAACTCCTCTGAGTTGGTTCCTTGTCCAAATTCCCAAACTCCTCAGTCACTGTGGGTCAGTTTAAGCTTATTCAGTTTTTCTGGAGGGAAACTCGGCAACATGCAGCAAAAGCCTTCAAGTCTATCCCCTTTGATGAAACATTGCCACTTCTAGGAATGTATCCTAAAGAAGTATTTAGATGAGGATGCACAGAAATCTTTAGGAAAAAAGGGGTGGGAGTGCCCAGGTGGCTCAGTCATTAAGCGTCTGCCTTCAGCTCAAGTCATGATCCCAGGACTCTGGGATTGAGCCCCATGTCAGACTCCCTGCTCAGCAGGGAGCCTGCTTCTCCCTCTCCCTCTGCCCCTCCTCCAGCTTGTTCTCTCTCTCTCACTTGCTCACCCTCTATCTCTCAAATAAATAAATAAATTCTTTTTAAAATCTTTAAAAAATGGCTGGTTTGGTTTTATATATACATACGGACAGACATTGATGGGCTACCATTATGTGAAAAGGGCAGGTTATACGATCCTCTACCACTAAGTCATTTTTTTTTTTTTAAGATTTTATTTATTTATTTGACAGACAGAGATCACAAGTAGGCAGAGAGGCAGGCAGAGAGAGAGAGGGAAGCAGGCTATCCGCGGAGCAGAGAGCCCGATGCGGGGCTCAATCCCAGGACCCTGGGATCATGACCTGAGCCAAAGGCAGAGGCTTTAACCCACTGAGCCACCCAGGCGCCCCCACTAAGTCATTTTTGTAAAAAAATGTATTTATAGGTTATATATCTGTGTTGCAATATGAAATTTCTGGAAAGACATACCAATACTTTAAATTAGATACTGTGGGTGGTGGTATTTTCTTGGACATATATTTTTTTCTTTATGCTTATCTATATTTTATGTTTTCTACAATATGTATTACCAAGAACTATGGGCAGGAGATGGGGGGAACAGAGGGAGGAAACGCAGCCTGGGCCTCAGCTGTGCCCAGGGCCAGGCCCCACACTGACCTTGGTCAAAATGGTGAAGGCCTCCGGGTCCAGTACCAGGAGCTCCTTGTTCTCGGTGCCCAGCACCAGGCAGGACACAGCATCCTCGTCGGCCAGGTTCTTTTTTAAGGTGGTCATGGTGGTGATGACTGTCTGCAGGAGGATTTCAGGTGTCACCCAGGGGATCCCCAAACGCCATCCCCACAGACACCTCCAGAATACCAAAGGAGGGAAGAAAGAGGGCAAAGGAGGAGGAAGACCACCAGAGATGGGATGGACGTTTTGTGTGCAAAAGTGTTAATTGCAACAAATCTAATTTTCTAAAAAAGAGGCTTAAGTCAATTACAAATTTCCATTTGATCAAAAACCATGTAGTGACTTTAAAAATCACATTTTAGGGGTGCCTGGGTGGCTCAGTGAGTTAAAGCCTCTGCCTTCGGCTCAGGTCATGATCCCAGGGTCCTGGAATCGAGCCCCGAGTCAGGCTCTCTGCTCCTCAGGGAGCCTGCTTCCTCCTCTCTCTCTGCCTGCCTCTCTGACTACTTGTGATCTCTGTCTGTCAAATAAATAAATAAAATCTTCTAAAAAAATAAATAAAAAATAAAAGTAAAAATCACATTTTAAAGGAAGATTCAATGACAACCAGAACATTTCTAATGTACTAAGAGAGAAAAATAAGTAAAGCGTTATGTCAGTATAATCCTAGATTAGAAAATATCTGAATAAAAAACCATGCCGGAAGGCTAAACTCATAAATACAAAAACTGGTTATCTCTGGACAATGAAATCACAGGTGATGTTTAATTCTTCATTGTGCCTTTCTAGAATTTCTACGGCGTGCACATGTTCCTTTTGTGATTGTGATTGGAGAAAAACAAAAGAGAAGAGGATGGTCCCTTTTTTAGGAATTTCTCCTACGAAAATAATCTAGCAGGACCAAAATACCTCTTTTGTAAGATAAAACTGCTCATTGTGTGATTATCTGTAAGATTAAAAGAGAGGAATCATTCTAATGCCTGGTGGAAAGAGAAAGGTTATAGAAATGTGGATAGTAATGGCGCCCAAATATATAATCATGACATCTCTATCTTGGAAAGATTTCTTCCCTCCCCCAAACTGCATCTTTTAAGCAATAATTAATTTACTTCATGATTTTGTAAGTGCTCAAAAATATTGGTAACTGTGGATCCGAGCTGCTGGTTGGCAGGAGAGAACAGCGTTGGTCTAAGGCTAGCCAAAAACTAACGCATGCATTGGTCCATGCGTTTGGTTCGAGTGGCTTCTACAGAAGGGGAGGGTTCCCATGAGGCTTTCTAAACCACAGAGAGCAGCTCTGGGACTGGACTGAGGGTCAGCCCCTAGGTCAGTAACCACCAGACTTTCATGAACACGTTCACCAATAAAACCATTAAAATCATAACTAAGAAAAACATGAAGTGAATAAAAGGGATACATTTCTTATCCAGTATACATGAATAGTTCCATAAACTATGAATGGAATAATTAATAATCAATGAAATAATTAAGGGGCCATTAAGAATAGAGTTCTTGGGGCGCCTGGGTGGCTCAGTGGGTTAAGCCTCTGCCTTCGGCTCAGGTCATGGTCTCAGGGTCCTGGGATCGAGCCCCACATCAGGCTCTCTGCTCAGCAGGGAGCCTGCTTCCCCCTCTCTCTCTCTGCCTGCCTCTCTGTCTACTTGTGATCTCCCTCTCTCTGTCAAATAAATAAATAAAATCTTAAAAAAAAAAAAAAAAAAAAAGAATAGAGTTCTTAAAGACTACTTAAATGCTCAAGATACACTGTTATGTACTCAAGGGAAGCAAATTATAAAGGATATTTATGAAGAAAATGTACCCAAATAGTAAGAACGAGGACCTCTGGGTGGTGAGATTATAGTCATTTATACTTCTCTTTATTCGCTGATGAGAACATATTACCTTTACTCTTAAGACAAGAGAAGTTATGTAAAGTTATGTAACTGTATATCAATTCAAAGCTGTCACTGTCAACCGGACATGGAGAAGGCTCCGCAGCTTTGTGACCATATACGTGTGCCGCAGGCTGGAAAGGAAACTGCAGAGCGAATTGAGTCGGGTTTGGTTGCAGAAGCTACCACTGATGTTACATTGTCTTTTAAAAACTGTCCATATTTTTTTAGAGGGAAATCAAGAGAGAAAGGACATTACCTGCCGCTTAATGGACTTGGACTTGTGCTGGCTCACAAATGCCTCCATTTCACTCAGCTCCAGCTGTAAAAACCTGTACGCACAGAGAACTGGCAGGTGCATGGCCTGGGCTACTTCCCTCCACAGGCCACTCCTTAGCCACCTTCTCCCCCCAGAGCTTCGGGAGGCCTGACCCTCCACAGGGCCCTTACCTGAGGGACTGTACAGACAAAGGCACCTCTGCCTTCTCCCTGAAAGGAAAGGGGCAACCATGGCAGATTTAGTGGAGGAACAGGACCCTGGGGGTCAGACGGAGAGCACTGGGATGAAGGAGAGGGTCTGGGGGACTGCGGGAGGGGTGGGAGGCATATGAAGGGGTAAGTGGGCTCTCACCGGATGCCTTCCAGCATCTCCTTCAGGGTCAAGGGGTCAATCCGGTCCTACAACAGCAAGGAAGAAAGGTAAGCCTGTGAGCTCCAGAGTCAGGCAGGGAATGAGGACTCAGTGGCCACATTTTTGCCTTCTTATTCCCACCCCTGACATCACTTACCTCCTTGGCCTGGTTCCAAAGATCTTGCTCCAGGGGGTTTAGAGGCAACTGGGGCAGGCTGAACTTGAAGTAGGGCCTAAGATTCTTATATACATACACACAAGGGCCTGAGGCGAGTGCTAGAGCTGGCGTCCGGGGCTCGTGTTGCTCCATGAGGAAGGTGGCGGCCGCAGCTGGCAGTGCAGGTAAAGGACTTTCAGTCAGCACTGTGGGTCCCTTGAGCACCTTCAGGCGGGGATGCTGCCCACCGGGGCCAAGGTCCCCCACCACCAGCTGTAAAAAGAGGCTGGCTTATTCCAGACTCAAGATCTAAAGACCCCTCCACTGACTCCCTTCTCAGGCTTAGACTTATTTTATTTATTTATTAGATTTAAAAATTTTTTTCGGGCTTAGCCTTTTTACTGGCACACATTCATTCACTCACACACCAGTGCGCCAAGTCGAAGGCAAGGAGATTTTGTAATAAGGCTTGCAAGACATGTGACCTTGGAAAAGCTGATTAAACTCTCTGAGCCTCAGTCTTCCCACCCACAAGAGGGGACTATCTACCTCATGACGCTTGCAGTGAAAATCAAATGAGGTAATGAATTACGGAACCTGGTGAGTGCTAGTGACGAGTGGGTGGCAGATGATGCTTTCATTATTCATTCAGCAAACATTTCTTCAGAGTCTGCTCCACACCAGGCACTATTCTGGACAGTGGAGGGTGGCTGAAGTCAGTGGGGTGCTGGAAACTCCTATATGGGCCTCTGAGGCCTGGTTTCCAGATGGGAACTGAGCTAAGGAAACACAAGCACGCACACAGAGTACAATGTGCTCTGTGGACAGACATGAGACTCAAGCTCCTCGGTCTCTCTTTTCCACCCTCTAATCTATCGTCCAAGCTACTGTGGCTGCCACACAAGCCCATTCTCTCGAGTGAGGCTTTCAAGGCCTCTTTGATCTGGGAAGGTGATGGAAAAGAATCTGGAAACCAGATCCCACAGCTGGGACCAGACTCTAGGTTTGTCTGAATCCCAACCAGTGGTCTTAACTCCTATTTTATATTGGTTTTCACTTTCTAACTCCAAATTTACTCTTTCCAAATATGCTACAGATTTCTAAGCCTCTGTGCCTCCACCTGCACTGTTCCTCTGACTGGAATGCTTTCCCCTCCTTCCCTCCACACCTTCTTCATACATTTCACTCATTCTTCAACACCCAGTTCACTTATCACTGCCCCCGTTACCTCCAGATAGATCTCACCATTCTTTCCCCGCTGCTCCCATCCTTTCCATATTTTTTATTTCAGCATCCACTCGTTTACTCCACAAATATTTACTGAGTACCTAATGTGTGCCAGGCACTAGGGCAGATGCTTCGAATCAACAAACTAACCATTAAAAAAGTGATTACACAAAAGCAGCTTATGTTTCATGCTAGTTATTGAGGCTGCGCTTTCTCTACCTTTCAGTGCTATAAACCTAGTGCCAAGCAATCAGTTATTATCATTGTCATGATATTGACCAATCAGTCAATATCATGGGTAAACTGAGGCCAGTGTCATATCTCCTCCCCATAGTGTACTGATTCATTTCCTAGTTTAGCGTCTGTACAATGTGTGACACACAATTGGGGTTCGCTGGACGCTTGCCAAATTGCAGAATGCTTTATGGACTGGAATTGGAAGGCAAAAGTCCACCAAATTCTACCGTGAAGGATGTGATTCCAGAGCTATCTTCTAACGGCCCAAATAGCATGCCCACTGTGGGTTCACTGCCCACTGCTGAGCAACAGTGGAATAAACACATGACTGGGAATGTGACAGGCCCAGGTCTGCCACTTTTTATAAATTCGCTAAGTTTACTCATCCTCTCTGAATCCATTTTCCCATTAACAAGTTGAAAACAAGTAATATCTATGTGTGGGAAAATGCTCAAAGAGGGTCTAGCCCAGAAAGGGATACTAAAATAGGTTAACTACCTTTCTGTAAGCCCAAAATATTTCACAATCTTTAAAAAAAAACACCTGTACCTTTAATTTTTAAATTAATTAACATTTCATTTATTAACAAGTAGGCAGAGAGAGAGGGGGAAGCAGGCTCCCCACCGAGCAGACAGGACCCTGGGATCATGACCCGAGCCCAAGGCAGAGGCTTAACCAACGGAGCCACCCAGGCACCCCTATCTTTATGTTTTATATTAAACTTAAAATTCGACCTTTTTATTATGGTAGGATTCAGACATATACGAAAGCAGAGAGACTCATGTAATGAACCTCCAAATATTCAGCATCCAGCTTCACCAATTATCAGCTCATGGCTAATCTTAAAATCTATGCCCTTTCAATAAACATAAAACTCCCACTTTCCTCTCTTCTCCATTCTCTCCAGATTCCAATGCCACACCCCCAACCAAGGGATGTGCTCTTCCAGCAAAGAATTACAAGTCAACAAAATTAAGAGGCTTTGTCTTAGTAGCATCCCCAACAGCATTTTGTTCTGCTTTCCTTTGTGCAGTCCACTATGAAATCAACAGGTTCTCTTGACTATCCACATAAAAATAACACTGGACACTAAATGTACTTTTTCAGCGTACACATGAGTTCCAGATTATGCTGAACTCTTCTGGAGCCATCAGGAAATGTCAGTTCTCATGCTCCCCCACGCCCCAGTTCTTCTTCTGCCGGGGTCAGGTGCTTACCTTGTACTCCCCATCCCCGTGCAAATCTGCCAGCGCTGGAAAACACAAAAGGACCGTAAGCCAGAGTTTCCCAATCCTTGAGACTTCGCTACAGAGCCGTTACTCCGCTCCATCTCCTGGTCCCAGAGACTCACCCAAGCAGGCGGAAAAGGTATGGATGTTGGCCATGGGGTCGTAGTGTGCGTCCAGCCATTTCGAACTTGCCTCATTGCTGCGAGAGGAGGGGAAAGAGGTGGCGGCTGAGTCCCAAGGGAGGGGAAAAAAACCACTTTGCGGGATCTAGTCTCTGGGCGTGTGCAGGGGGCTCTGAAATGGGGTTGCAGACGCCTGGGGCCAAGTCCAGGCTCCTCCAGAGACTCACGGAGTGACCTCGAGTCACTCGCACAAGCACATTCATTCACTCCTCGGGGCTCAGTTTCCCTATTTGTTCCCTAAGATCCCTTCAAGGACTGCCAGCGCTTTTCGAGAAGCGAAGGAGACCAGATCCCGGGGCCCAAGCCCCCCTCTTTACATCTGTAGGAAAGGCGGCCTCGAGGACCCCGGCCTTCACCTCTCAGCTCGGCCGCTGTCGGAATCCGACGAAGACGCAGCAGCCATCTTCGCAGGCGTCGCCTTGGTAACCGGCTCCGGCCAGCCCCCGCGCAACGCCCAAAAGCGCCCGGGCTCTGGGAAGCGCGCTGGGAAGAGCACGTACAAAGGTTCCGGGAGCTCGGCTTTCCTTCCCAGAGCTGAGAGGCCACCAGGCAGGCAGGGAATGACGGCCTCTTAGCTGGTTTACCCTGCTGAGGCGCAATCCCTCATCCCAGATCGTATGGTTTCTCGGAACCGCTGGGCCCTGCAATCTCTGGATTATTGGCAGGACCCTCTCGCCTGGAGAGCAGCCCTTCTAGTGTCCCTGAAAAGTGAAACTAATCCCACACCCCTTTGTCCTCACGGTTAACCCGTCTGTAAAGGGGGTATGACCTTTCTTCCCATCTTATTCTACAGGTCTGGGTTCAGAGAAACAAAGCACAGGGTTGAGAGATTAAATCCTAGGACGGACTGAAATTGAGTTTCCAGTGTTAGGGTTCCTGGAATATTTTTAAATACAGGATACACCACAAAGGAGGACTGTAAAAATTGTGCCACGTTCCTCCTTGTGCCTGTGTCTCATCCTTTAGAGGTGATATCAAAATCCTGTTGTAGAGGGGCCCTAAAACTGACCTTCCCCAGGCTTTGATCCCTTTACCCTGCTGGGAGCAAAAGAGAAGTGAGGCAAGGATTCACACAAATCGCAAAGATGGTGGTTGTTTCTTATGTTTATTTTCTGGTTATAAAAGCAACACAGGAAGAGCACTGGATTGGGAGGCATTTTGAGTCCTGTAGCATCTAGACAGGTCGCTTCTCAGAATTTCCATTCCCTCATCTGGGAAGCAGGGTAAGGAGCTGGGTGGGCCTTGCCCACTCTACCAAGGGCAGTGCAGATCAAATGAAATAACACAGGAGAAGCACTCGGGAAACTGGAAAGTGCCGACAAATGGAAGGGGTTAGTGTCACCACCCTCGGCTGAGGTAGCACCAAGGTCCGAGCTCCAGCTCCTCCCCCAGCATACCCAGGAAAGGGGGGGCTACTTGTGGCCCTGATTTGATGGAGTTGGGGGAGTTGCTGCCTAAATCTGTCTCAAGCCTGGCCAGATGGGGCCTCACTGGGGAACCTCCAGAAGCGGGCATCAGCTGTGGCCAGCTGGGTGAGGACCTCCTCCAACTCGGGCCCATCCTCTGGGAAGCGCTCAGAGAAGGATCGGATGAGGCCAGCAGCCGAGGCCTCGTACTCGAGAAGCTGCACTTCTGAACCTGCGGAGGCAGAGAAAAAGCAGCAGGAAAAGGTCTTAATAGGAAGCAGATAATCACAATCATAACCCTAGGAGCAGGTGGTTTTTCCTGAACTCTTACCCTGTGCCAAAAAGTGCTCAGTGTTTTATTCTTATTTAATCCTTGCAATAACCCTATGAAGAAGGAAGCATTAAAGGGGGAGTATTCAATGAATTGTTACATTCATTCGCTCATTCATTCACTTAATAAGTATATACTTTGGTGTCATGTAAGGTTAAACTGACGGTCCTTGGCCTCCGGGAGCTTACAGTCCAACAATTGTTTTATCTCTGTCTACTGTGGGACCTTGGAAAAGTTTCACCTCACTAAGCCTCATTTTCCTCACCTGTAAAGTAGGGGTGCACACAATACCTCCTCTCTCAAGAAGCTACCGTGACTGAGTACAGTAATGCCTTGCGTGAACGCTCAAGCACTAGCTACCACTAGCTACATTCTCTTGAGCACCCAGAGGAGCCAAAAGGGTACCCACTGAACTCATGGGCTGTTCCAAAGGTCGCCTGAAGGCTCATGGGAAGCATTTCCCTCCAACATGGTTCCACTACTCCACCCACTCACAGGCCCTGCTGTGCTCCGTGGCCCTGTGGGGTATACGTAGCTAAGAGCACAGCTTTTGGGTTCAGACAGCACACGTTCAAATCCTGGCGAATGCATGGCTGCTCAGTGTCTCAGTTTCCAACTGAAAATGGGGGCAATAACTTCCTTCTGGGGTCAATGAGTTCATCCATCCAAAGTTTTACCCAGTGACAAGCACACAGACGTCCTCGAAATTCCTTGTCATCATCACCATCATCATCCCCATACCTTTGAAAACGCTACCTGCTCTACAGGCTTAGTTTAACCACTTCCCCCTCACCAGAACCTTCCCTGATTCCCTCAAAGGTGAATGGGATCTTCCCTTCTCTAAGTGTTCAGACCACTGTTTGGGCCTCTTGGGTGCTTACCAACACCCCCTGGGTGTAATCATTTCTCTCCGGGTCTTATTCCTAATGGACTATGGACTACTTGAGGCAAGGGCCTGGGTCTGATTCACGTGTCCATACCCAAGGGTCCACACAGGACCGGGACAATCAAAGCGATGATGTTTTAATGAGCACTTACTATGTGCCCAGCATGATTTGTCCATTTCCTCATTTGACATGCACTGAGCAGCTCGTGTGTGCCAGGCCCTATGCTAGCTACTTGCTGGGGATGTGCTGTTCCTGCTAATGTGGAAGCAAAGCAGACAGGAAAACAGCAGAGTCATGGTGCATCAAGGGATTGCTTTAGGAGGAGCGGTCAGGGACAGCCTCTCCCAGGAGGTGTCATTTAACAGAGGCCAAAATGACAGGAAGGACAAACCAAAGACTGGGGGAGGACTGTGCCCAGCGGAGGAGACAGTGAGTGCAAAGGCTATGGGAGTGGGACAAACTCAGAGGGTTGGAAAATGGAAAGACATGAACCTGGAGGCCAGTGAGCCAGGAAGAGGGGTCCCTGAGGCCTGCCAGGGGTTAGGACCAAATCCCCCGGGACCTCTGGAGTGTAGCACAAAGAGTCGGAAATAAGCCTCACAAATGTGTTTTCCTTGCCAGTAGGAGGTAACTATTTCATTTAACCTTCACAACTGCCCGTGACTATGGGAGTGAGACGCATTCTTTTTTTTTAAGGTTTTTTGGTTTTTTTTTTTTTTGACAGACAGAGATCACAAGTAGGCAGAAAGGCAGGCAGAGAGAGAGGGGGAAGCAGGTTCCCCCCTGAACAGCTCGATCCCAGGACCCTGGGACCACGACCTGAGCTGAAGGCAGAGGCTTCAACCCACTGAGCCACTCAGGCGCCCCGCGAGAAGCATTCTTAATCTAACTCTAGGTTCCTCCAGTAAAGAGCCATAAGCCTCGAGCGATTTTTGTCTCTGGGCCTCAGTTTTCTTAACTGTAAAATGTAAACTGTAACTATCTCATTGGGTTATGGTGAGGATTTGTTTTATTTTAATTTTATTTTTGTAAGTGAGCTTTATGTCAATGTAGGGCTCGAGAGGCACCTGGGTGGCTCAGTGGGTTAAGCCTCTGCCTTCAGCTCAGCTCATAGTCTCAGGGTTCTAGGATCGAGTCCCACATCAGGATCTCTGCTCAGCAGGGAGCCTGCTTCCCCCTCTCTCTGCATGCCTCTCTGCCTACTTGTGATCTCTGTCAAAAAAAAAAAAAAAGTAGGGCTCGAACTCACGACCCCAAGATCAAGAGTTGCATGCTCTACCGACTGAGCCAGCCAGGTGCCCCCATGGCAAGGATTTAGAGAGTGAAGCCACGGAGAGCAGTAAAAGCTTGAAGGACCTCATTCGGGTTGGCTGCAGCCTCAGCACCCAGCACATCAGCACACAGGCTTTACGGACAAAGACAAGGTCACAGCACAGCTCTAACGCTACCTGTACCACCTTGGCTGAGGTGCCTCAGTGACAGGCATCAGGAAAGACGGGTCAGGAGGAGAGAGGAAAGTGAATGCAGCAGGGGGCCTCTAAGACAACAGGTCTAAGTGCAGCCTGGCCAGGGTCAAGGCTTTGGAAACAGAGTCATCACTTGAGAAGGGGGCGCATGGGGCTGCTCATCTCTCTCTTGGGCTCTGCAGAGTCACACTGTCCCCTGAGTTCCACCAGCCTGCTGGGTTCCACCTCCTGCCTGCCCCTCACCTCGACTCCACACACCAACAGGCCTCATCCTCCGGGACTATGCCTGGCCTCCCCATGCGCCTGGGGTCTGTCTCTTCCACTAGGCCGCAAACCTCCGGTTGCTGTCTTATAAACAGCACGGCCCTGTGTTGGGGGGCTGGTGGTAAGAGATGCTAAGGTTTGGGCCCTAGGTTTGGGCATGGGGAGGCCTTGGGCAGGGAGGGAGAGGCAGGAGTCACCCCAGGTAGCCTTTCCTGAGCTCAGGGATGGGTTCCAAGCCTCCTTTGCCCATCAAAGGGACCTCGGGGGTCCTATTACCTTCAAGGCGAGTGTTGGGCTGAACGATGAGCTTTCGAGATTCCTTACGGAGCAGGACTGTGTCCCTGAGGGTGAGGAAGCACTCAGGGGGCGCGTCAGTGACCGCCGCATACCCCTCATACAGGGCCCGGCCTCCAGCCACATCTCCTGTGGACTTCAACACCTGCGGGAAGGCAGAAGGAATTAGTGCCTACGATGGGCAACCCTCCCCGCATCCAGGGGGCTTTGCCAGGGGCCCCAGCCGCTTGGGTCCACCTTGGACAGTATCTGCTCTCTTACCATATGATTGTGCTTATTATGGGAGAAATACAGATTAAGGGCTTAGCTCCTGGTAAGGGCCTAGGAAAGTGAAGCTAGTGTTTCTCATTTGAATTTCTCATTTGAACTGGAGACAGAGAAAGCATTACCATCATGCTCTTTAAAAAAAAAAAAAATTTCACACGTACAAAATATGTAGTATATATATAGTAGGTTATAATATGTAGGTTGTAAAGAATACTTAGGTTATTAAAAAAAAAAAAGATACCCATATAACTAGCACCCAGCTTAAGAATCAGTTCCTTCCTTTTTGCAAATTAAAAAAACCTTTTTAAATTTTTATTTATTTAATTTATTTAATTTTTATTTTTCTTAATTAAGTAGGCTCCATGCCCAATGTGGGGCTTGAACTCACAACCTTGACATCAAGAGTTGCAAGCTTGGGACGCCTGGGTGGCTCAGTTGGTTGAGTCTCTGCCTTCGGCTCAGGTCATGATCCCTGAGGCCCAAGATCGAGTTGCACTTGCAAACACCCCACAGGCGAACCCCTTCCCAGGACAGGGGCCGCTTCTGCTGTGGGCCACTCAGTTGTGCCATGGACACCCCAGGTGCCTCCTGACGGACGGAAGGGACAGATGTGGGTTTCTCCAAGAGAAGCCGTGGTCTGCAGGTCAGGTGGATGCTCCACCTTAGACAAGCGCACGCGCCCACGTCGCTCTCCCGAGGTGTTGCACAAGCTGATGCTCCCAGAAGCAGCGGCTGGCGGTCCTCGCTGCTCTGGATGCCAGGCTGGTGCTGGCACTTTCCGTGTCTGCCAAGCTGGTGGGAATAAGGCTCATGTGGTTTCAGCTGTGCTTTCCTGTTCGTTCAAGAGGTTGAACATCTTCCCAGAAGTTGAGGCTTTTTTCATTTTCCTTTTTGGGTCATGAGTTTTATTTACTTTTCTGCACGGTTGTCTCTTCTTCCTCACCTTTTTTTTTTTTTTAAGTTCTTTATATATTTAAATACTAACCTTTTGTTCACACATTATGTGGTAAATATCCTATCCTCGTTTAAGACTTGTCTTCTCACATTCTTTATGGTAACTTTTGATGAATAAAAGCTACTGTCGTTTGTATTTTTAATTTTATTTCTGCATTTATTTACTTTTAAAAGGCTTTATTTTTAAGTCATCTCTACACCCAACGTGGGGCTCGAACTTACAACCCTGAGATCAAGAGCCACATGCTCCACGGACTGAGCCAGCCAGGTGCCCCCCAAAAAGCTATTTTTTATGTAGTTAAAAGAGTCTGATCTTTTCTTTGATGGCTAGTGTTTCTTGTGCTTTGAGAAATTTTCCTTCACTCTGAGGTCTTAAAGATACTCTTCTGTTAAAAACTTTGCCTTTTCTATGTAAACTGTTAAGCTCCTAGGATTGTCTTTGTGTATGGTAAAAGGTAGAAATCTAGTCTGTCTCTCCATGAGGCTAACGGGTTGTCTGAGCACAACTTGCTGAACGGTCCCTCCCTTCTCTACTGGTCTGCAATGTCCCTTCCATCATATACCCAAGTCACTGCTGCTTCTTGGCTCTGTTCCACTGGTCAATTTGTCTATTCCTGCCCCAGGGCCACACCGAACTTAATTATCTTAGGATAAATTTTGGTATCTGGTAGAACGAGTCTCCCAACCTATTTTGCTTCAGGAGTGTCTTGGCTCTTACTGGTGATCCTTTATGCTTCTGTCTAAATTTTACATTAGCTTGTCAAGTTCCAGAAAAGCCCTCTTGGGACTTGGTTTCTTTTTCTTTTTTTTTTTTCAGTTTCTTTCTTCTTTCTTTTTTTTTTTTAAGATTTTATTTATTTATTTGAGAGAGAGAGCAGAGTGAGTGAGAGAGAGCATTTGAGCAGGGGTAGGGGCAAAGGGAGAGGGAGAAGCAGTGGTGTTCAGTGGGGCTCGATCCCAGGACCCTGGGATCATGACCTGAGCTGCAGGCAGATGCTTAACCCACTGAGCCACCCAGACGCTCCCTCTTTAGGACTTTATTCAACCTTGTGAAACTCGCTGATTTCATTGATTTGTTTGTATATTCTTTTGACTCGCTTAGCCACATAATCTGCAACGTAGAGTTTTAGTTCTTCCTTTCTAATGCCTAAACTTCACGATTCAGTCTTGTTTCCTTCCAAAAGCTAAGCCCTTCGGCAAGCTGTTGATCAGAAGTGGAACTAGGGAACATTTCGGTATCTTTTTCTGATTTATTTAATTAATTATTTTTTTAAAAGATTTTTATTTATTGATTTGACAGACAGAGATCACAAGTAGGCAGAGAGGCAGGCAGAGAGAGGAGGAAGCTGGCTCCCCACAGAGCAGAGAGCCAGATGCGAGGCTTGATCCCAGGACCCTGAGACCATGACCCAAGCTGATAGCAGAAGCTTTAACCCACTGAGCCACCCAGGCGCCCCTGTCTTTTTCTGATTTTAAAGGGAATATTCTAGTGTTTGGACAGATGACAGTTACTGTTATTTTCATTTTCTGAGACATTCTTTATCCGTTAAGAAAATTCTTATTTGGGCACCTAGGTGGCTCAAGTCAGTTGAGCCTCTGATTTTTGGTTTTCACTCAGTCATGATCTCAGGGTCACAGAATTGAGCTCCAAGGCTCTGCACTCAGTGGGGATTCTGTTTTCCCCCTCCCGCTTTACTTTTTTTTTTTTTTTTTAAGATTTATTTCATTTTATTTTTAATTTATATTTATTTAATGCCTCCTCCCACCTTCTCGCTCTCCTTTCCTCTTGGGGGATCCGTTTACACACCCTAGACTTTTCTGCACTGGCCCCCACGACCCTTCACCTCTCTTAAATTTTTTAACGTGGTCTCTGTGCTACATGCCATATACTTTCTTTTATCTATAGCTGGATCTCAAACCTGTCTAACCTATTTTTAGTTTCAGTGGTGTTACAGTTTATTTCTGGGAGTTCCATTTGGTTCTCTTCCAAATATCTGACATTTTGTGGATCTGATCCTTACTTGGGCTGCTTGGCAGGTGGCAAAGTAGGGCTCCCTCCAGCTAAGCCTCCCGGCTCAGACCCAGGGTTACAAGGATTCTCCAGATGGTTGCGGGGGGATCCTCCAGGGGGACAGTTAAAGAGAACATCTCGTCTTCCTGTCTTCCCAAGAGGACGGAGCACACAGAAAGTAGTGGAGACACACTCATGAAGCCGATAGATCGGATCCCACTAGCATAAACTGGAGAGCTGGTAACCTCGATGCCAACAGGAGGCAGGACAGAGAGTTTGTATATGCCCCTTGGCTAGCTTCTCCTATTGTTAACACTGTACAAAACTGGTGCATCACTGTCAACTAAACTCTAGGCTTTTTTAGGTTTCATTAGTTGTCCCATTAATGACCTTTTTCTGTTCCAGATCTAAGACCCATATTGCATTTTGTGTCTCTTGATTTTGTTTAAGATTTTATTTATTTATTTGAGAGAGAGAGAGAGAGCAAGCAGGGGGAGGAGCAAAGGGAAAGGGAGAGGGAGAGAATTCCCCAGCCAACTCCATGCTCAGTGCAGAGCCCAGTGTGGGGCTTGAGCCCAGGACCATGAGTTCACAACTTGAGCTGAAATCAAGAGTTGGATACTTAACCGACTGAGCCACCCAGGCGCCCCTGCAGCTACTGACTTTTTTTTTTTTTTTTTTTAAGATTTTATTTATCTGAGAGAGAGCAGAGCCAAAGAGAGAGCACATGAGTTGGGGAGAAAGGCAGAGAGAGATGGAGAAGCAGACTACCTGCTGAGCAGGGAGCCCGATACAGGACTCAATCCCAGGACCCTGGGATCATGACCCAAGCCAAAGACAGACGCTTAACCGACTGAGGTACCAGGTGCTTGATTTTCTTTTATTAAAGATTTTATGTATTTATTTGACAGAGAGAGAGAGAGAGCACGAGCAAGCAAAAGCAGGGAGAGCGGGAGAGGGAGAAGCAGGCTCCCCGACAAGCAGGGACCCCAATGAGGGGCTCGATCCCAGGACCCTGGATCATGACCTGAGCCAAAGATAGATGCTTAACCAACTGAGCCACCCAGGTACCCCTAATTTTTAATTTCTAATTTTCTTTTACTTTAATGGCCAAACACTTACCTTTCATTTAAAAATGCCTTAAATCTGGGGCGCCTGGGTGGCTCAGTGGGTTAAGGCCTCTACCCTCGGCTTAAGTCATGATCCCAAGCTCCTGGGATTGAACCGCAAGTCGGGCTCTCTGCTCAGCAGGAAGCTTCCCCACCCCCTGCCTGCTCTCTGCCTACTTGTGATCTCTGCCTGTCAAATAAATAAATAAAATCTTTTTAAAAAAATGCCTTAAATCCTTTCTGGAAACAGGTGGGAGTATAATCATGGAACTCTTTGCTGAATTGAAGACTAGGCCTTCTAACGGTTGAAAAAGCCAGCAGGGGGTGCCTGATTGGCTCAGTCATTAAGCTTCTGCCTTTGGCTCAGGTCATGATTCCAGGATCATGGGCTCAAGCCCCACATTGTGCTCCCTGCTCAGTGGGAAGCCTGCTTCTCCCTCTCCCATTCCCCCTGCTTGTGTTCTCGTTCTTGCTGTGTCTCTCTCTGTCAAATAAATAAATAAAATCTTAAAAAAAAAAAAAGAAAAGACCAGCAGGACCCAGTTCCAACAGAAGGTCCTGCACAGTAGAGTGGGCCTTGAGTGGTTCTCAAACTTTGCTGAATGTCAGACTCACTTGGCAGGCAGCTAAACATGCAGATTCCTGAGTCCTACTCACAATTTCTGAATCAGGTCTGGGGTGGTCCCAGGAATCTGCATTTGTAGGCTGCTTCTGGGTGATGTGGATGCTGCTAGCCCATGGACCATACCTAATGTCATACTGGCTTGGATCCAGAACATTCTATTTGCTCAGTATGTTGTATCATTTGCTTCCTGCCAGGTGAGGCGGGGGATGTATCCCATTTAACAGATGACATAAGTGGGGCCCCACAAGGCAGAGTATGTTGCCTTAATTACATGGCTGGTTAAGTTAACACTGACATCAGAACCCCAAAAGGTTTCTAGGTGGGAGGGAAGCCAGGGCCATGCGACCACTGTCCTTCACCTACTAAGCTCCAGGCCTCCTTCTGTCCCTCAACCCACGAAGCTCATTCTGGTCCCCATTCCAGACTTTGAGCTTTCTGTTTCTTCTGCTCATTCTGGTCCCCATTCCAGGCTTTGAGCTTTCTGTTTCTTCTGCTCTCGGACCTTCTCATAGGCTGATTCCTGCCTGGCACTCAAATTGCAGCTTAAACACCATCTCCTCCAAGAAGCCTTCCCTAACCACCCAGGCTGAGGAGGCTCTGCATTCTTTTCCCTCTAATTTCACTTGTTATCGTATCACCAAGTTTTATTGTCTTTATAGCTCTTGTCATGATTTGAAATCATCTCATTCATTTATTGTTTATACGTTCACTACAACATAAGAAACCGCTCACGGCTTATGCTCAGTGCCCCACACAATAACACTCTTTATACACACTTGTCCGATGAATGAATGAATGAATGAATGAGCTGATGATCAGAAGGCTACGAGGCAGTGCTAGAGGGTGGGGAGACAGGGTGAGGCTGAAGGGCAAAAGGGCTCCGCTTACCTGAAGTTTCCTCAGGAACCGCTCCAGGGCGGGCTTGCCCACAGGCCGGATCTTGTCGCGGTCCAGGCGGACCCGGGCATCTGGGCGCCCATCAGCCCCTGTGGTGGGAGCGACAGTAACGAGTCCCTCGCCAGCCTCCAGCAGGACTCTCAGGATCACAAACCGGGCCTGCATGTGGGCCTGCCAGAACCAAGAAGAAAGCAATCATTTACATGCTGATAAGGCATATCAAAAGTCTGCTCCAAAGCCTCATATACAGTATGTGTTCATTAATTGTCAGTTATTCTTACCACTTCATTCTCCTCACCCTGTGGGTCTTTTTCTGCTCTATTCCTCTCCCCTTAAAAATTTCCTCCCCTCTCTGCTCATGAGGGAAGGCAGGCTGCCCTGGAAAACAGGAAAGCCATTTCCAGGCAGGTCCCAGAGCCCTGTGCTCCCCCTTGCCAACCACCGTGCCCTTCGCTGCTCCAGAACGCCCCCAGATGATACCAGATATCCACGGGGGTCCCCCACAGTCCAGGTCACCAAGCACTCTCTCTTCTACAATCTTGTCTGCACTCAACAGTGGGACCAAACGGGCATCATGAACCCCAGTTTACAGATGACAAACCATAGCCCCAGAGAGGTAAAGTGACTTGCTCAGGGTCACACAGCTGTTAAGGGAGATCAAGGACTCAGACCTAAGTTTCCTGACTCTAAAACATGTGTTCTTTTGATGACACAAGACTGACATAAGACTGATGACATAAGCTTATCAAAACGTACTTGTGTGACTTTGAAGAACATTCCTATTGTTAACCCTATTTCCCATCTCGTAAGTGAGCAGCTTCGCCTAACCGCTCTGGAGGCAGACTACTTGGATTTGAATCCTGGCTCTGCTACTTACCAGCAAGTTACTTAATGTCTCTGTGCCTCAATTTCCTTATCTCTAAAATGAGAGTAATAATAGTACCTATGTCCTAGGGCTGACATGGGGAACAAAGAGTTAATTCAGGTAACATGCTTAGAACTGTGTGTGGCACAGAGGAAGTCTGTCGCAAGCCAGCTATGAGCGGTCGTGGTAAAATCAGCTGGTCTGGTTTCGCCCTCAGAGGTGGGCAGGGAGATTATTACCCCCATTGCACAGACAGGGACACTGAGGCTCACAACGGTGTGACTTACCCCCATAAGGAGTGGAGTCTGGGATTAAACCCAGTTCATGTGTCTCTTTGGTAGATATGGTTGTCCCATCCCCATACCTAGAATCCTGACCTCAGACCCCACTGCAGGCCTCCCCCCAACCCCCAGCTCCCTGCTGGCCCCCACCTGTCTCCAGCTGGAGGTTTCTGGGGTATAGAACTCCAGAGCAAGCAGCCCAGCCCGAACCATGTTGAGCCAGTTCACGTAGATCACGTCTTCTGCATCAGCCCCCTCGAAGCCGAAGATCCTGGTGGAGGGACAGGGAGGAGGCAGGGGCAGTCAGAGGCTGCCTGGGTGCTGACCCCCGCCAGTACACCCTCTGTCCACAAGGGAGGCCCGCCCCCCAAGCCTGTTGCCCATACTCCAGCACTTGGGGGTTGAGGCAAAGGTAGAGGCCCACACTTTCAGCCCGGCATTCTTCGTAGCTAGAGGCGATGGTGCTGAACTTGCTGTCCCAGGTCTCCCCGCTCCGGTACCAGCTCTGAATCTGGGAGGGGAGGCCCAGGAAGTAGGCTTAGGAACAGCTGCCATCCCAGCCAAGCCCAGCCCCCCAGGACCACGGGGGCTCTGCCGAGGCCACCCGCCCTCACCTGCTCTCCCGTCTCTGGATTGATCACGGTCTCCTGGTCAAAGTTAAATGCTCCTTTCTCGTCCTGCAGAAACATCAGGACACGGGGCAAGTGAGGGAAAGGTGTCTCTGCCCTAGCCCAGCACCTCAGCCTGGGGATTCCAGCGCCATCCATGTGCTGCCGCCTCCAAACCAGAGTCCTGTAACCCTGGCTGCCCTCCTCCCACCCTCAAGCCACATGAAAACCCAGACCCGGGATCTCCGGACCCCAGATATGTGCCAGTGGATGGGCTAGAAAGCTTGGCTGCTGATCCCCTACGCGCTTCCCACGCCCTCTCCCCATGCGGGCAGAGGCCACAGTCTGCGACTCTCTACCTCCAATAAGCATCGGCCTCACTATCCACTCCATGTGCCAAGTGTCTTACGCACCACCCACTTATTCCTCACACCCCCGCCCCCCGGAAGGTTCTATTACCCCACTTCACAGAGGAGGAAAACGAGGCTCAGAGACTATGAGCCCCAGCGTGGAATCGAGCACATAACCTCCACGCACACTCTCTTGACAGTAGACCCACTTCCAAAGGGCCTACTGTGTCGGCAACCCTAGGGCTTTGCTTTTATTCCTCACGATGGCCCATATGGTAGGAGCCAGGGTCCCTGTTTTGCAGATGGGCCAACTGAGGCTCAGTAAGGAGGACTGACTTGCGGAAGGACACAGAGTGGCCACATTTGTCCCCACTTCCCTGTGACTTCAAAGCTTGGACAAAGCTCAGGGCCAAGCTGCCGCCCCCATTAGCTGCTCTCTGAATGGTCCTGACCTCCAGCCCCTCCGGACTCGGTGACGAGCCCCACCTCACAGGGAGCAGACCCAAACAGAACCCCGCTCTCTCCGATGCCCGGGCTGCCCCGCCTCTGGTCATGCTGTCTGGCACAAAGGCTGCCTGTTGTCTTTGCATCCCCTGAGTGGAGGCATCACAGGGGCTCCAGCCACTCTGACTGGCTGCCAGGAAGGGGCTGCTCTCGCGAGAAGTAACTCACTCCTTGTTAATATCTGGAAAGGTACGGGTTCCAGGGAATAGTAGTCCCAAGACAGACCGTGCTGCAGCCTCAGGACTGGGAGCGTGCAGAGACAGCCCTCACAGCCTCCCTGTCCCTGCGGCTTTCTGAGTCACACCTCCAGGACAGGCTTCCTCGGCCTGAGCCAAGCCACCCCTCCTGTGCAGGGGACCTCAGCTGGACTGTCCTGCAGGCCCCGTGCCCTTGGGGCTCCTAGGACATCTTGGGGGAGGATGAGATAGGAACTTCCCTCCTTTAGGGGCCATTTCCCCCACCTAATCCGAAGCCAGTGAGGGCAAAGATGGTGCGGCTTCACCCTGGGTGGGGCTGATCATGGAGGAGGGGAGCTGCGGGCGCGTTCTCACCTGCACAAAGAGCTTGCCGCTGCCATGGCCCAGCAGCTCGTGCAGTCCCACCTGCACGTCAAAGGAGGGCCCCTTCCAGCGGATGTACAGGTCCTGCCGAGACAAGCGGAGGCCCATGCTGTCTGCCACAACACCACAGCCACACGGCCTGCTGCCGCCCCTGCTGCCGAGCTGACAGCCAGTGGCTTCCTTCCCACCAGGCTCCACGGGGGACCCCCCTACCGCTTCACCCATCGCCTCTTTGCAACAACCTGGAGGAAGGGACCACCTCCTCCGTTTGACAGGTGAGCAAACAAGCCAAGTCACAGGGCCCCGTCTTCCTGCGTCGGCCGTTAGTCCAGGCCCACCCCCAACCCTTGGGCTGCCGGTGCCCACCTTGTCCTCTTCCTCCAGGAAGGTCAGCTTCTCCCGCTGTGTGGCGTAGGCCACAGCCAGCACGTTCCCCAGCGACACATTCTTGAAGCCGTCCGTCTGCCTCAGGTCGTCATCTGCAGAAGGTGGGGAGGGAACCAGGGAGAAGGGGCAAAAACCAAGGGCCACGGATAAGGAGTCTAGACAAGAGGACCAGGCTGGGATGGAGAACTGAGAGGGGCATGTGGCCAGGCCAACTGTGTGCGGAAGGGGAGGGGCGACTCTCAGGGGACACGGCTACGGCTTGAGGAAGCTCACAGTTGGGGATGTTGATGCCAGCAGGGATTCCAGAGCCAGAGAAGGTGAGAACATCCAGGGAGGTGAAGTCGGGGGTGAGGAACTTGTCCTTCTCGAAGGCCGGAGGCCAGGGCAGCTCCTTCAGCAGCTGTTCTGCACTTGCCACCAGGCACTCGAACTTGGCACTCATGGCCTTATTCACCATGGCCACAAAGCCTGTAGGGAGGGAGGTGGGCTTTAAATTTTATTTAAAAATAAAATTTTTATTTTTAAAAATAAAAAGATTTTATTTTTAAGTAAATACCCTGTGGGCTGGCAGGGCTTGGGAGGGGTCCCGTACCCCACTCCACCCTGCGACACCTCCAGCTATCATGCATGTTTCAAATGTCTGCTGTCTGTGGTACCCTTTGCGGGCCAGTGGGGAGAACAGGGACCTAGGCCTGGCCCTGCCTTCATGGAGGTCACTGGAGGGGGTGGGATGTAGAAAGAAGGCTTCACTGGATAACCTCTGCCATGGATCTTAAAGGAGAGGGCAGGGAGCCCATAGAGGGTGGTGGGTAAAGAGCAGATTCCTGGTGGAAGGGACTCCTTGAACAAAAAACATGTCCTTCTTTTGGGGGCAACTGAACTCTCCTGCAAGGCTTCGGTATTTGGCTTACGAGGGAGTAACTGAGGCTGTGCACAGGAGGCCTGGGATTGATCTTTTTAGGTTTCATGTGGTTAGAGAGCCTAGCTTCCATTTCTGTTTCCAAAGCTGCACTCCATAAAATGCAGTTTCCATGAGAGCCTTCCTAAAGAAAGAGCTTCCTGGTCAAATAAGTTTGGATAATTCTATATGCTCTATCTCTAAATTCTTAGAGATTCCTAATGTCCGTTCGCATATTAGAGATACTAAAGAGTCGTCCAGGCAAACCCTTCTTGGTGTAATTCCTGGGACCCCTACAGGAACTATACTGCAGAAAAGCCCGGCCTAGACTACTGCATGGTCAGGCTCCTGCACAGAATCGATTAACTTGGCCAAGGGGTTAGACCTGGCAAAGCCTCCCTGTCTGGAGCCACTGTGTCAGGTGGAATTGACATACCAGGTCAGGAAGACAGGATGATTAAAATAGCAAAGAAGAGGGGGCACCTGGGTGGCTCAGTGGGTTAAAGGTCTACCTTCAGCTCAGGTCATGATTCTAGGGTCTTGGGATCAAGCCTCACATCGGGTTCCCAGCTTAGCAAGGAGTCTGCTTCTCCCTCTCTCACTGCCCAGTCCCCCGCCCACCTGCCTATGCTCTCTCTAATAAATAAAATCTTTAAAAAAAGAAAAATAGGGGCGCCTGGGTGGCTCAGTGGGTTAAGCCTCTGCTTTCGGCTCAGGTCATGATCTCAGGGTCCTGCGATCGAGCCCCACACCGGGCTCTCTGCTCAGCAGGGAGCCTGCTTCTTCCCTCTCTGCCTGCCTCTTTGCCTACTTGTGATCTCTCTGTCTCTGTCAAATTAAAAAAAAAAAAATTACAAAAAGTAAAAAAAATTTAAAAATAAAAAATGAAAAGAACAGGGTGGAGGGAGTCCGGCTGGCTCAGTCGATAAAGCACGTGACCCTTGATCTCAGGGTCATGAGTTCAAGCTCCATACTGGGCGTGGAGCCTACTTAAAAAAAAAAAAATAAGTAAGTAAAAGGAACATGGTAGGTCTATATGTACTGATAGGAAAAGATATCTAAACTATTTGTGAAAAAAGCAGGTGGCAGTACAATCCATAGAACATATTTGCATCTCTTGGGTAAGTTGAGTGTCACGTGTGAGCTTAAACAAAGCTCTGGAAAGACCCATACTCAACTGTGTGAACTGTGCCAACCTCTGGAGAGGAGGGGAACAGGGGGCCGATTTCACATTTCATCCTACATACTTCTGTATCATTCCAATTACTTACAACAAGCATGGATTTTTAAATCACACACACGAACACACAAACACACATTTTAAAGCGTTATTAGCTCTACCTAAAAACAAAAAACAGGGATGCCTGGGTGGCTCAGTTGGCTGAGTGGCCAACTCCTGGTTTTCAGCTCAGGTCATGATCTCAGGGTCCTGGGATCAAGCCCCGCATGGGGCTCTAGGCTCGGCCAGGGAGTCTGCTTGTGGATTCTCTCTCTACCTCTGCCCCTCCCCCCTCACACTCTATCTAAAATAAATAAATAAATAGGGGGGAAAAAACCTGACAATGTACACTCCCAATTCTAACCTTAAGGTGGGAACAATCACGGATGATATTTTAGTATATTTTCCAAAATTTGTGACCATGAATATGGACGACTTTTCCTTTTTTTTTTAAGATTTTATTTTTAAGTAATCTCTACACCCAATGTGGGGCTCGAACTCACAACCCTGAGATCAAGAGTCACACACTCTACTGAGCCAGCCAGGTGCCCCTGGACTACTTTTCTAATAACCACAGTGAGTTAGGTAAAGAGGGGAGCCTCTGAGATCAAGGCTGCTCAGGAGGTTCTGGGGTCTTGGCCATCAGAGAGGCCTGGACAATCAGGACCCAGGCAGAGAAGATGCAGGTGTGCACACCTGTCCTCCCTTCTGGTCCCTGAACCACCTGCGCCCTGGGCCTGCATCTCTGGGCTTAGATCTAAGCTCCTCACTGGCTGCTGGGACTGTCCTCTCTCCTCCCAAATCAATCTCTCTGGCTTCTAGAAACTGGATGCTCTAGACTCTATCCCCAGAGGCTGGGGAGGATAAGGCTTTGTACAGAAATCTAAATCCTCAGGCTGGATGCCCTGCCTCCCACAAGTGGGTCCAGTTGAGGTATGGATATAGGCATGGGGCAGGGCCAAGGCAGCCTCCTACCTGCCCTGAGATGACAGCAGCCAAGTCAAGTTCACTGTCATAATGGCAATTACGCTCCCATTCACCCACGACCTTTTATGTGCCTGGAATTCTGCTGAGCAATGTCTCTTCCCACGACACCCAGAAGGGAGTGACCGATGCTCAGATATGGGGTTTACCTAGTTGGGGAGGTCACACAGAGGGTGAGCGGCAAAGTTGGGCTTGGAATGGCCGTAGCCTGTGCCCAGATCAGACAGCAGAGGCAGCACAGCAAACTGACTTAGCAAGGTGCCACGCTCGTCCACTCACCAACTATACCTCGGTAGCCACTTCTATAAAGCGAGGATAGCAACTGTCACGGGAGGACAGTGTTCAAATGAGCTCCTGGAGCTAAGTGCCCAGTGTCTAATAAATCATCAACACTGGTTCTGGTTATTTGTATTATTATTGCCAAGGGTGGAGGGGAGAACCCTCAGGGGACACTGAGGATAAGCGTTTGCAAGCTGACCCCCCTCCTCCCAGAAGTTACCTTCAAACTCTCCACGGGAACCAAATGGGTCTCGGTAGCTCTCGATGAACCCGATGTAACTGCGGGAGTAAAGGGCAGAGATGGAAGAGGGGCAGGCAGGAGGGGGGCAGATGGGGTGAAGGCTGGTGCCTCACCTCTCCACGATGGGGCCTTTGTCCTGTATCCAGAAGCGGGAACCCCTCTTATGGGCCTCGATGGAGCCCTGGGTGAAACTCTCTATGTACTGGGCCAGCATCTGTTCCTGCCGGCTGTTGGCTGCATACGCCTGGGGGTGAGCAGGGGTCAGTCAGCCTCAGGCCACCCACCTGTCCCAACGCCTGTCTTTGCTGTCCAGAGGGATCTGGAGCTTGCGACCCTCAGCCCCCAGCCAGCCCTACCTTGGCCTTCTCCAGGTGCTCCACCACCTTCTGGAGGATAGGGGCATAGTCCCCCCGAGTCACCTGGAAATGGCTCCCCCGGAATTCGTAGCTCTTCAGCTTGGAAGTCATTTCAGAATGCAGAGCAGGCTCTGATGGAAGAAGGATCGCTTAGGGAAAAGGCTAAGACACCCCAGCAAGCTTCTCACCATGACACCCTTACTCTAAGATCTTCAATGACTCCCCACTGCCTACAGAAATAGTATAAACTTTCATTTAAAAAAATATATATGTGTGTGTGTGTGTGTGTGTGTGTGTGTGTATTAACTATGTATATACTTAACTCATTTAAGCCTCACATCTACTCTGGGGGGTTATCTCCATTTTACAGATGGGGAAACTAAGGCACGGAGAGGTAAAGTAAGTTTCCAAAGGTTGCCAAGAGCAAGATTCAAACCTAGGGTGGCAAATGTATTTAGAAAGTCAACCCGAAATGTAAGGAGCCTTATAAGGAGATGAGAAGGTGAACAGGAAGTAGGAGACGGGATGAGAGAAGATGCTGGAGAGAGGGCAGGAGGGGGACGGGACCTGAGCCAAAGAAAGCAGGCCACCTCTTGAAGCTAAGAGCCAAGGAGACAGACTGCCCCCTAGAGGCTCCAGAAAGAACTGGAGTCTTGTTTCTAACTGTGGACCCCCCAGAACAGTAACAGAATAAATTTATGTTGTTTCGTGCCACTACATTTGTGGTGATTTCTTGCATTTTGCTTGTTGTCCCTAACGAGTAGCATACACTTCTAGGTTATGTTGTAAAAAAGAAAAGATAAGCACGGTGTCTCCCACCTCCCAAGGTGACATCCCCCACCAGGATACGGGGGCTCTTTGCCCTCCTCTGGAGGCTGGGCAGGCTTGTGACTCTAGCAGAAGTGACACCAGGGACTGCTGAAGGGGGTCCAGCTTCTGCCTGGCTCTCTCTGCATGCTCCCTTGGGGAGGCCAGCCAACAAGAGCAACGTCAGGAAGCCACGAGGGCCGTCCTGGCCCATAGCCCCTGCGGAGGTCCCAGCTGACAGCCGGCATCTTCTGCCAGGCGCGTGATGAGTGCGTCTGCGGGGATTCCAGCCTCTGGCTGCTGATGGCACCCTGGCCTCCGAGTCTCCCAGGCTGAGCCCCCGGTCGTTGTCACCAGGCACAAGCTGTTCTGATCGTGCCCCATCCTGATTCCTGACCCACAGAGTCTGTGAGGGTGAAGAGGTGGGTTTATGTCCCTAAATTTGGGGGGCAGCTGCACACAGCAGGAGGTAACACAACCGGTACTCAGGCACCAGAGCCTCCCTCTCGCACCCTGTCTTGCACACAGCAGAGCATATGGGCTCGGCTTACATTCCAGCGTGATCGATACCTAGTCCCATGGACCCAGCGTCCTTTTCCTGAGTCAAAGCCCACAACGTGCCAATCGCTAAACTTTCTCTCCACCATGCTCTGGGGCGCACACTGTTCCCCCCACCAAAGGTTTGGGTGCTATCTTCATCTAGTCCCACACCAAAGATCTGAGTTTCTGCCAAGTGTTAGCCACTGGGGGGACCGTGGTCAGTGAAACACACAATTCCTCCTCCTGAGAAACCCACGTCAACAGTGACAACAAAATGCCACACAGTTGCTGGGTATGATGATGGAAAGGGGAAGAAAGTCATGGAAAGACTGGGCAGGGTCCTGGAGTAGCTAGTGAGAAGGTGTTTGTCACGTGTAGATGGAAGGCAGGGCTTCGAGGTGGGCAAGGGGACAGACTGTGCGAAGTTCTGGACAGCAGATGTGACAACAAACGGGGGGGTTTTCAGGGGATTGTAAACTGCTAAGCATGGCTGGGGCTCAAAGTCTAAGTGGGAGGCGGGCAGGGATATGGGGCTGGGGGCTGGGAAGGGGAAAAGGGAGGGCCCACTCGAAAAGGTCCTCACAGGGGCCTGGCTATTTCTGTCCACACTACATGCATTTCCCTCTCACCTGGTAACAGACCCCAATTTTCCTCTAAGAATCCCCTGCCCCACACCTCCAATTCAGGTGTGTGGGAGGGGCTGACCTCACTGTCACCTGGCTCCCAGGTCAGCTTGGGATCAGGGTCCAGACAATGAGAGATCTATCTGTCCCTTGACCACAGGGACCACAGATAAATATGGGACCCACAATAGAGAAACTAGAGCCACTCCCACTTTTCTGGGAGAAAAGGGACCTCTTTCTGCTGGAGTGGCCAGGCTGGTGACCAGGCCCCGTGTGGGAGGAACACGCGGTAGATGAAGTGAGAGAGAGGAGGCCGGAGGCAGAGAAAGAAATCTCTTGGAATACGGTCCGAGCAGCTGGGTCCACCTGTGCTTGAAGCCATTCCGCTCTGGGCTTCCTAATGTCCCAAACCTATTAAGTCTTCTGGTTTAGGCAAACGTGTGCTAGATACCTCACTTGTGAAGAATTCTGAAAAGACAGAGCCCTCGGAGGTGGATTTGGGCTTTACCCTGAGGGTACTCAGAGACATTTAGGAAGCAGACTCTAGTACGTTCACCATCTCCCCTTTCCACGTTCTCCCGAACCTCCAAGACCCCTAGGGTGGCCTCTTTCACTAAGCCTACATGGATGTGCAGTTTGGATTTCTTGTCTAGCCTGTCATGGGGCAGGTGGCCCAGCCTCTGTTCCCACTGTTCTCGTGGATCGTTATTATCTTTTGCGCCACTGCCTGAAGTATGGGGACCGTCAGAAGCTTGTGGCTTCTGTAACATCCGCCAAGTGCCATGGAACCCCTCTCCCTGTCCTCATGTCTCCCCCCGTATCTTTATTGTCACAGCTGGCCCCGGGGCTAGTGTCCCCCTCACAGGCAGCACTAGACGCAGAGCACAGCAGTGACCACAGCTGCAGGAAGTGCACCGTCAACGTCTTTGGTGACTATCGTGCCTGTCACTCCCGGCAGGACCCACTAAGCCCTGCCCTGAATCCGGCCCCGGCCCCGCCCCCGGGCAGAGGTGCTGAGGAGGGAGCAGAAGGGCCGTGTGAAGCAGCTCACCCGCGCCGAGCACCGAAGCCAGCCGCACCTCGTAGCACGGCTTCCCGTCCTCAAGGACGCCCTTGAAGAGTCGAGTGTTGTAGGCACTGAGGTTCTAGAAAAGACCAGGGCAGGGGCTGGGGTTAGAAGAGTAAGTCCAGAGGGGGCTACAAGGCGGGAGGAGGGAAAGGGAAGAGGAGGTCCAGAAGCTGCCTGAGTCCGCAGCAAGGGGAGCGAGCGGGTGGGCAGCCCAGGCCAGGCTCTCGGAGACGCTCTGCTCTATGCGCTGAGCGCCAACATTTACTAAGCGCTGACCCAGGGCAAGACGACGCAGCAGACCTGGAAACTGCTTACACAGCTGCTGGGTGGGTAAACACCACAAGTGGACTCCGGAGCCCAACTGGAACTGGCTCTGAGGTCTCCACTGTCCTGCCCACAGGCTGTCACCAAGGCCTCCAGCCTGTGGCGGGCGGGGGTGGGGGTGGGGGGGCTCCGTCCCTGGCACATGTGGGAACGTCTGCCTCGCTGAAGCCAGGCCAACTCTTAGACAAGGATTCCCAAGTCTTTCCTACTTCAAACGCCCAGGATGCTGTGTCTCTGGACCCAAGCTGAGACCCCAGAGTGGGTGCCAGTGGCAAGGGGACCCTGTGAAGCCCCCGTCCCAAGTTCCCTAACCCTCAAACCTGTGAGTCCAGAAAGTCCTGGGCCAGCTTGGCGTCTTCCATGGTACAGTCCCCAGAGAAGTAGGTGGTGATTCCCTGTCGGGGGAAAGGGACAGGTGGGAAGGAGGAACTGCCGTGGTCGGGACACACTCCTCTAAGCCCCCGCACCTCCTCCCAGCCGCGTCTACCCTGCCCCCCTCATCTCTTTCCAGGGGAGAAAACCGTAACACAAATTGCACACAGAGGCCCATCTCCAGCCTTCCTGAAGCTCTGCTCCAGCCTCTCGCGGGCTGGCCCACCCCGGAGCCTTGCCATGTCCCTTGCACCACGTGGTGGCCAAGTGGCCTCCAGAGGCGGGAAGCCCGGGCTCCTCCCTTTCCCATCTGCCCCTCCACAGCTCCCTCTCTCAGCTCTTCTCTTCTTCCCTCCTGCACACACCACCCCAGGCTGTCGGAATGAGAAGGGCATTCAGAAAGCACTGCATCCAACCTGCTTCCTAGCTTACAAATGACAGAACGGAAGCCCACTGCCTCCCTACCCGGTACCCTTCCCTCCGCTCCAGGTGACTTACAAAGGATCCCCTCCACTTTCCTGCATGATGGGGGGTCCTCACCTCCTTCCCCAGCCCGAGGTGTCGAAGCCGCGGCTCCAGAGAGAACATGAGCTCCCTGCAGGTCTGCCAGAGGCTCTTGACTTCTTCTGGGTGCTGCCCGGCTGCCTTACTCCCCAGGATCACACGTTCCAGCTTCTCCTGCAGGGGAGGAGGCCACTGGCTGGGCCACAGCGCCCAAGCCTGTCTTCTGCACCCTCCACATCCACCCCTCAGCTCTTCTCCCGCAGCCTAAGGCCTGGCTCAAAGTACAGCTGAACGACAGGCAGCATCGGTGCTGTTGAAGGAATGCTGGAGCTCAGGCCCCCCGCAGACCTGTTAGTCAGAAGCTGCATTTCGACAAGATGGCCAGGCGACTTGTGTGGACAGTGAGTGCTGAGAGCCCAGGAATAAGAACTGCTGATGCCCCAAATGGGCCCAAGCTCCACAGTCCCCGCCAGCAAGGGACTCACAGGCCTCTCCACCATCCCCAGGGATGAGATGACCAGGCTCCCTTTTTGCAAGCACTGAAGTTCACACACCCTTCCCTTGTCTGTCCTCAAGTCAGCACCGTCAGGAAGACACATTGCTTTCCCTCGCTAGGTGAGGAGCATGGCAGTGAGCAGGCCCCCACTACCATCCCACCGGCGCCAAATTCCTCACCGCCCCCGGCCTGCCCTCAACTCACCTTGGGCAGGTTGGGAACAAACTTGGTGTCACCAAAGGACTTGTAGTTGCCCATGTTGGAGTAGATACCCGCCGCATAGACCAGGAACGCCTGGAGGGAGGTGGGCATCAGAGACCCAGAAGCACAGTGTCCGCCCCCCCACCAAACCCCACCCCAGGGAGGTTCCCGCCTGAGATGTTAACACCCAGAGGAACCAGTACTGGCGAGGCTGGGAAAGCTGGGGGCAGGACCCAGATCCCAGGAGGCCCCAGTCTGGCCCCAACATACTTTCCCAGACCAACTGCACATGCCCATTGTCCAGCCAGACTGGTCTTCTCAGCAGCCCCCAAACACACCCACCTTTGTTCCTGCTATGCCCAGCACCCTCTCAGCCACCCACCGCCATTCCATATGACCTCTGAAACACTGTGCCTCTGCCTCCTTGTGCAGAAAGCCTGTCTTCTGCTCCCAGCCAGCCAGGTAGCTGGCAACGGAAGCATCAGATGTTTGGGCTGGAGGGCCCTTGGTCATCCGGACATCATTGCAGGCCCAAAACTCAGTTTCCCTTCCTCTGGCAACAAGACCTCAATCTTCCTCTTGTGAAGGTGGGGGGCTCTCCCTTCCCTGACTCCGGGGGTAGGCTCAGGCTCAAGCTAGACGGTAAGAGCCCTACCTAGGCAATTTCCTAGTGCCAAAGAGCCTCTGTTTTTATACAAGGGATCATAGAGCCTGGAGCCCCTGGACCTCCCCTGTTGCAGTGAAGAAAGAAAGCCAAGCTGAGAGATGAAGACTGCATCAATATGGTATCCCTGAGCCCCTGAATCCAGCCATGACTGAAGCCTGCTCTAGCCCTGGACTTTTCAATTATATGAGCCAGTAAAGTTCTCTTTTTCAAAATAGACTTTATTTTTTAGAGCATTCTACAGCCACAGCAAAACTGGGGAGAAAGTATACAGATTCCCCACGTACCCACTGACCCCCCACACGAACAGCCCTCCCCATCATCAACGTCTCCCACTCGAGTGGCACATTTGTTACAACAGGTGAACATACCTGGACACATCACCACCCAAGACCAGTCTACGTAAGGGTTCACTCTTGGTGCACACTCTGTGGGTTTGGACAAATGGATGGCACATGTCCACTATTACGTACGGCACGTTACTCTGTCCTACAGAGTAGTTTTAGCGCCCTATGATCCCTCCCCTCGATGCCTGGCAACCACTGATCTCTCCTATCTCCATGGTTTTATCTTTTCCAGAGTATCGTATAGATGGAATCACATGTACGTAGGCTTTCAGATTGGCTTCTTGCATTTAGTAATACGCACTTGACCTTCCCATGTCTTTTCATGGCTTGATACCTCATTTCTTTCCAGCACTGAGTAATATTCCATTGTCTGGATGGATCACAATTTGGTCAGCTCAGCTACTGAAGGACATCTTGGTTGCGCCCATCGTTGGCAATTGTGAATAAAGCTGCTACAAACATCCATCTGCAGGCTTTTGTGTGGACCTACGTTTTTACCTCCTTTCAAGATTTCACTTCAGTCAATAACCAAGAAGCATGACTGTTGGATCCCACAGGAAGAGTAGATTTCTTTTGCAAGAAGATGCCAAATGACCTCCCACAGCAGCTGTATGATTCTGCATTCCCACCAGCAATGAACAAGAGTTTCTGGTGTTGCTACCCCTGCAACAGCATTTGGTGTCGTCCGTGTTGTGGATTTCGGCAAAGCTAATGGGTGTGTAGTGCTTCTCTCATTACTTTATTTATTTGCAACTTCCAATGACATACGATGTAGAACATCTTCTCACGGGCTTATTTGCCATCTGCGTTCTTCATTGGTGAAGCATCTGTTACAGTCTTTGGCCCATTTAACTGGGTTGCTTGTCTTCTTATTGTTGAGTTTTAAGAGTTCTTTATGTATTCTGGCTAGGAGTCCTTTATCAAATATTACCTTTTGCAAATATTTTTACCCCAGTCTGTGGCTTGATTTTTCATTCTCTTGACAATTTCTTTCACAAAGCAGAACTTTTTAATTATTCTGAAGCCCGCTTTATCAACTGTTTCTTTATGGATCATACTTGGTGTCATACCTAAAAAGTCATCTCCATACCCAAGGTCATCTAGATTTTCTATGTTATCTTCTAGGAGTTTTACACTTTTGCATTTAACATTTAAATCTCTGATCCACTTTGAATTAACTTTTGTGAAAGATGTAAAGTCCATGTTCGGTCTAGATTCTTTTTTCCTCTTCTTTTTTTTCTTTCTTTTTATCAAGTAGATGTCCAGTTGTTCCAGAACCATTTGGTGAAAAAGACTATTTTTAGGGGCACCTGGGTGGCTCAGTGGGTTAAGCCTCTGTCTTTGGCTCAGGTCATGATCTCAGGGTCCTGGGATCGAGCCCCGCATTGGGCTCTCTGTTCAGCAGGGAGCCTGCTTCCCCATCTCTCTCTGCCTGTCTCTCTGCCTACTTTGTGATCTCTCTCTCTGTCAAATAAATAAATAAAATCTTAAAAAAAAAGAGAGAGAGACTATTTTTACTCCATTGTGCTGCTTTGTTCCTTTGTCAAAGATCAGTTGACTGTATTTATGGGGGTCTATTTCCGGGCTCTTTATTCTGTTGCACTGATCTATTTGTCTGCCCTTTTGCCAACACCACACTGTGTTGATTACTGCAGCTTTAGAGTAAGTCTTGAGGGTGAGTGTGATCCTCCAGCTCTGTTCTTCTTCTTCCCTCTTTCCCCAATATTGTGTTGAAAATAAAATAACTGGGATTTTTAATCACATTGCATTGAATCTATAAAGTTGGGAAGAACTGACATCTTTTTTTTTTTTAAGATTTTATTTATTTGAGAGTGAGAGCACAAGCAGGGTGAGGGGAAGAGGGAGAAGCAGACTCCCTGCTCAGCAGGGAGCCCAACGTGGGGTTGATTCCAGGACCCCAGAATCATGACCTGAGCCAAAGGCAGACACTTACCTGACTGAGCCACCCAGGTGCCCCAAGAACTGACATCCTTATAAATCTGAATATTCCTATTCAGGAACATGGACTATCTCTCCATTTATTAAGTTCTTTGATATCTTTCATCAGTTTGTAATTTTCCCAAGTTTTAAACACATTTTGTTGTATTTTTGAACTATGTATTTCACTTCCTTGTGTGCTATTTGGAAATAGTATTATGGTTTTCATTTTGAATTTTTATTGTTCCTTTCTGGTATATTAAAAGCAACTGACTGGGGCACCTGGGTGGTTCAGTGGGTTAAAGCTTCTGCTTCCAGCTCGGGTCATGATCTCAGGGTCCTGGGATCGAGCCCCACATTGGGCTGTCTGCTCAGCAGGGAGCCTGCTTCCCCCTCTCTCTGCCTACTTGTTATCTCTGTCAAATAAACAAACAAACAAACAAGCAAACAAATAGATCTTAAAATAAAATAAAATAAAATAAAATAAAATAAAATAAAATAAAAGCAACCGAATGGGGTGCTTGGGTGGCTTAGTTGTTGAGTGGCTGCATTTGGCTCAGGTCATAATCTCAGGATCCTGGGATCAAGCCCCACATCAGGCTCCCTGCTTGGCTCCCTCTCCCACTCCCTCTGCTTGTGTTCCCTTTCTCACTGTCTCTCTCTGTCAAATCAATTAAAAAAAAAAAAAAGCAACTGGTTATATCCATCTATCTGTCTATCTATACACATATTTAAAGATTTCATTTATTTATTTGCCAGAGAGAGATGTGGGGAGAGAGCACAAGCAGGGAGAGAGGCAGGCAGAAGGAGAAGCAGGCTCCCTGTTGAGCAAGGAGCCCAAGGTGGGACTCAATCCCAGGACCCTGGGATCATGACCTGAGCTGAAGGCAGACACTTGACGGCAGAGCCACCCAGGTGCCCCTGATTTTTGCATATTAACTTTGCACCCTGCAACCTTGCTATAATCGCTTATGAGTTTCAGGAGTTTTTTGGTCAATTCTTTTGGATTTTGTACATAGATGGTCAATCATATTTTCTGTCAACCAAGACAGTTTTGTGTCTTCCTTCTTAATCTGCATAGGTTTTATTTCCTGTTCTTGCCTTATTGCATTAGCTAGGACTTCTGGTAAAATGCTGAAAACCAGTGAGGGGACTTCTCTGCCTTGTTCCTGATCTAAGTGGGAAAGCATTGAGTTTTTCACCATTAAATATGGTATTAGGTGTAAGGCTTTTGTAGATAGGTTTTATCTTTATCAAGTTGAGGAAGCTCCCCTCTATTTCTAATTTGCTTGGTTTGATCATGAATAGGTGCCGGATTTTGTCAAATGCTTTTTCTGCATCTACTGATATGATCATGTGGTTTTCTTCTTTAGCTTGTTGAGGTGACGAATTATTTATTTTCAAATGTTGAGACAGATTTGCATGCCCAGGATAAATCCTACTAGGTAATGGTGTATGGTTTTTTATATATTCTTGGATTTGATTTCCTAAGATTTTTGAGGATTTTTTTTATCTATGTAAATGAGAGAATGGGCTGTAGTTTTCTTGTATTGCCTTTGTCTGGTTTTGGTATTAGGATAATGTTGGCCTCACGGAATTAATTAGGAAGGATTTCCTCTGTTCCTCTCTTTTTTTTTAAGATTTTATTTATTTATTTGACAGAGAAAGCAGGCAAAGAGGCAAACAGAGAGAAAGGGAGAAGCAGACTCCCCGCTGAGTAGAGAGCCCAATGCAGGGCCCAACCACAGGATCCCGAGACCACGACCCAAGCCAAAGGCAGAGGCTCAACCCACTGAGCCACCCAGGCGCCCCTGGCTGGTAGCTTTTTCTCGCAATACTTCAAATACTTCAATCCACTCTCTTCTTGCTTGTGTGGTTTCTGAGGAGCTGGATGAAATTCTTATCTTTGCTCCTCTAAAGGTAAGATCCATTTTTTCTCTGGCTTCTTCTAGGACTTTTCTATGTTTCCTGACTTCTAGCAGTTTGGGTTCATTCTTAGGGTTTCCAAGTCTCTGCCTACCCGTTCCTGCATGTTGTCTGCTCTATCCATGAGAGCCCTTTAGCGTATCAGCCATAGTTGTTTTAACTCCTGGTCTGGTAAGTCCAACATCCTTGCCACATCGGAATCTGCTTCTGATGCTTTCTCTGTCTCTTCAAACTGTGTTTTTTGCCTTTAGTATGTTTTGTCATTTTTTCTTGATAGTCAGACATGATGCACTGGTAAAAGGAACTGCGGTAAATGGGCCCTTTAGTCGTACGATGGTAAGATGTGGGAGCAGGTGAAGCATTCTCCAGGCCCATGATTAGGTATCGGCAGTTTCTCAGTGAACCTTTACCTCAGTGAACTTCACATGTGCCTTTCTGTCCCATGTCCCCGCCCTCTTCCTTAGGTGGGACAGGACAGTTCTTGAACTGTCTGAAATGGGATATTCTCCTCCACCCAGGTCAGTTAGGCTCTAGGCTCTGCTGATACAGTTTCTCCCGAGAGCTAACTGGGAAGAACAGAATGTTCTGGCATTTTTCAAAAATGGTTCCCTTGCCCCTCCCCTGGCCAGAAGCACAAGGGGCTTTTCCTCTGAAATCCAATCCATTGTGAGGACCAAAATCCTGGAGGTAAAATTCCCCAAATTCCTGAAAGTGTGGAGACCCCTCCTCTGACTGGGTTCTCCTGGAGTTTTTAAACTCTCAGAGCTGTCCACACTGAGCCTCCAGCAATCTGTCAATCACAGTTCAGGTTTTCTGACTCCAGCACTGGTTCTGGGGAAGCTTCTGCTCATGAATTTTTGCACTGGTGAGTTGTGATTCTCTGTACCCACCTGTCTATCTCTCCCATGTGGGGGCAGCAGTTAGCCCTGTGGCCTCACTTACTTCAGGACAGATGAAATGTTATTGATTTTTCCAGCATATTCCACCTTTTACTTGCTAGGACAGACTGGTGACTTATGAGCTCCTTACATGCCGGACTGGAAACTGGAAGTCATGATTTGCATTTCCACTCAAGCCAGTTTGAGGTGGGTTTCTGCTATTTGCAAGCAAAAGTATCCCACGGAGAATAGCAACACTCTGGTTGCACTTTCCCACCAGCCATTAGCTCTTTTAATAAGTCAAGGTCTAGAGATGGGATGTGATCACTAAAAGTTAAAGAAAAGGAGAAGAAACAGCCTGGGCCTAAGCTCAGAGATAAGCAATCCAATCCCTTTATTTTACATGTAGAAACACAGGCCACTTTCTCATACATTGTTGGTGAAACTTTTATAAAAGATGACCTAACAACATCGATCACTTGTAAATGTACAGAGCCTTTGACCCAGCAATGCTACTTCTAGAAATAGAGCCTCCTCACACATGCGCACAAGTATGCTCACTGGGGCACTAGTTCTAAGAAGAATCAGGAACAATCCAAATGTCCAACGATAAGGAAAAGATTAAACTGATTCTGGTGTACACTGCAGTGGAGTGCTTCACGGTCAACAAAGAGGATGAGGTGCCTTTCTATGTACCCCACAAAAGTTCTCCAAGACATGGTGTTCAATTAAAAAAAAAAAAAAAGTAGGACTCCTAAGAACACGGAGAGTATGATCTCATTTATGTAAAAGACAAAGGGAGGAACCGGTGCACATGCGCATGTACACGTAGAGGAATGCAATACACAGACAGAGGACTTGAAAGGCTGTACACGCCACCATCCAATAGGCGATGTTCACGTGTCGTTTTGTGTCTTTCTGCACCGCAGCAATGCACTACGAATGCGTTTAAATAATTCTTGACCAATGAACCCACAAACAAACAAAAGCCAGGGCACAGGCAGGGACCCACAACATGGCAGAGGAAGATCTGGTCCAGAACTCAGACCTCCTGATTCCTACCCTGGACTCCCTCCTCTACTATCTCTGAGTGTCCATAGCTGTTTCCTTTACTCACAGTGGCCACTATTTATCTTGGAATCAGGTCACTGCAACCCCAGGAGGTACAGACTACCCTCATGCACATTTTCTAGATGGGAAGACTGAGGCTCCAGGAGATGTTCCTATATTTGTAGCCCTTGGTCTACTCTACAGAGAAGGACCTTTGTACTCCTGCTTGTGGTCCCTCATACCCAGAAGCCATTGAGGAAATGCCAAATGACCTAAAAGAACTGACCTGATACTCCTCCTCGGTAAGGCCCTCAGCCAGGGCGAGCTGGCGCAGCTGGTCGGGGTCCTGGGCGCGGAAGAGGCGACTGAGCAGGGCATAGATGTAGGGGGCCTCAGGGGAGGTCTGCAACAGTACTGCCAGGCCTCCATACCAGGCAGCCCGTGACAGATGGTGGGCATAGAGGCGCTCTGTGGGCGACAGCAGGCGGAATGCCTCCCGGCAGTCCAGGCTAAACACACCGATGTCATTGGGCAGGATGTACTGGGCGTCCGCCATGGGCCCTGCTGAGAACCATCACCATCATCACAGCCATCATTTACCACATACTGAGTACACACCTAGCTAAGCACTCTCATGGTCTCATTTAATCCTCCCTCAAACCCATTCGCAGATATGTTAACTGAGGCTCAGAGGTTAGGCAACACACGCAAAGATATTACAAAATACACTGGTAGGTCATATTTGGACTCAGGCCCTTAGCCTTAAAGACTGAATTAAACTACCTAGTATTACCGATGGGGAAACCAAGGCCCAGAGAGGCTAGGAGCTTTGCCTACTAACACAAAGGGAGAGGTCAGAAGCAGAGACCTGAATCTCTAGACTCCCAGCCCAGGGCCCTCAGGTGCCCCTACTCCTTCCCTGACTTCTTAGCCTCCTCTTCAGAATTCTCCCATAAGTTCTTCAATTTCACCCAGCACTGTGGTGGCAAGAGTAGAGTTCCAGGCCACCAGCTGGAAAATCCAGGTTCCAAACCTGATTCAGCCCTTAGCTCCTAAAACCAAGTCGGTTGTTTCACTTTTCTGTGCCTCAGTTTCCACTTCTATAAAATGGGGGCGATGATAAGGCCAACCTCACCAGGAGGGTGTGCAATCTGTTTCACTCTCATCCTTCTAAACTCCTTTTCTTTCTTTCTTTTTTTTTTTTTTAAGAATTTATTTATTTATTTGACAGAGAGAGATCACAAGTAGACAGAGAGGCAGGCAGAGAGGGAGAGGGAAGCAGGCTCCCTGCTGAGCAAAGAGCCCGATGCGGGACTCGATTCCAGGACCGTGAGATCATGACCTGAGCCGAAGGCAGCGGCTTAACGCACTGAGCCACCCAGGCGCCCCTAAACTCCTTTTCTTTGGCCCTCCATCCTCCAACCCTCTCCCTGTGCTTGGCCAGGGGAACTACAGAGCCACGTTGGTTCGGAGCTGGAAGAAAACTCATTTTACAGGCAGTGAGACTGAGGCTTAGAGAGATCACGCGACTTACCGAAGTCTCACAATCCCGTTGGGACACGGGATCTCCCAAGCCAGGACATTCTCCACACCGCCCTCCGGTCCCGGGACTGAGAGTCCAGCCTCCCCCACCGCTCCGGATGCCCCGCCCCAACAGCACAACCCTCGGGGTTAACTCTTTGCTGCCCGGAGGGTTCCTTGGCCTCGGGGCCGCGGTGAATGTGGAAGGGGTACTGGATAGAAGGCAGAAAAGGAATAATCCTGCCTTCGGTCCAGGATCGCCCTGTCCCCCGAGGATGACACATTGTGACCCTGAAACCCGGGTGCCGCTCCTCACCTGCAGCAGCCGCTCTCATCGAAAACTCACTTCCTGCTTCCGGCTCCCCCATTCATTGGGGCTCCGCGAACTCCGTCCCCCGCGGCCAATCGTCGGGCTTCGGGGCCTGGATGGGCGTCAGCTCCGGCCAATAGGCGCCCCTCGGCGCGCTCCGCCCGCCTGCCGCTCTCGGCTCCCGGGCCCTACTGGGTCGCGCGCGGCATGGCCCCTGCGGCCTTGGCCTTTGTCCGCGAGGGTGCTGGCGCTGCGGCCAGGAACCGGAGTGGCCCGCCTGGCCGCGGCCTAGTCCCGGCAGACCGGGCTGACAAGGTCGCTTCAAGTCTGGGCGGGGCGACATGGGTGTCATGTACGGAGCAGCGGGGACTTCCCCACAGAGCCCCAGCGCCGCCCTCCTTTGGGTCCCGGGACCTCAGTTTTGCAGGTGGGAACCTGCGCTCGTGAAGTGATGTGACTCTCCCTCCCTCACTGGATTCGAGAGTCAGGGGGTGGAGACTCTTAGAACACTGGGAACCTACAAGGTGAGCTGCCGATGAGCCGAGGCGATCACACCCGTGCGGGGATAAGTGCTTCACTGCACCGCCTTCGATTCGCTAGGGCTTGGAAGGCAGCCACTAAACGTCTCTGAGCCTGTTTCCTCAGCACAAGGACGCGAGGGGCCTGGAGCTTGTTGGTGCTCGCGCGATGCCTGATGGAAGGGAGAGCTGCCTGTTACCCCAAAAGGCGGCCCAGGACCGAGCTGGGCCTGAGGTCCAGCTTTGCACGTCTGCATTGACTCACAAGAGGACAACCTGGGTCGGGCATGGCCTGTCCAAGCGTTGGCGTCGGCCTGGGCTCAGTGGGGAACATTGTGAGGGGCCTGGGTCAGCGTGGGCGGAGCCAGGTCATCTAAGATCAAATCCTGCCACCATCATCTACTGGCTGTGTAGCCTTGTGCGGGACACTTTACCTCTCTGAGTCTTGGCTTCCTCAGCCAGAAAACCCAGCTAACAATTGCCTCCACTCCCAACGATGCTATAGCTGGGAGTAAACTGATGACTGGGCAGTCTGCTCCCTAGTGTTGTGCCTGTAGGGGCTGGCTGCGATGAGGACTATCATCACGGAGAAAAGCTCAATAAATTCTCTATGTCCTTAGGAAGGTCACCCCTCTTCTTCCCTGTGCCTCAATTTTTATTGTCTTTAAAATGGGTATACTCCCGACTTGGGTGAATTTGAGTGGGGCACCAGTAAAGGAGGTGGTGCTCTCTAGCCATCAACAAGCAGCTCAGGCTCTCAAAGACTCAAGATCTCAGGACTCCTGGGACCCTCAAAGAAGCTCGGTTCACGGTTAACACACAAGGTCCTATGCTACGAGCTTAACATGGAGGCTATTTCATTCTTGTAAAAACCCTGATAGGATAGTACCATTTTACCCATTGTAGGAGATGGAGAAACTGGGGCTATTAGTTTCATTGACTTCCTTGAGGCCACCCAGGCTGTCCCTGAACTGGAGTCTAGCCTTCCTGAGAACTTCCACCACGCTGTCTCCTCCACGGGCCCCAGTACGCACACATGCATAATCACACGGAGAAATCCACTCGCTGGAGCCTCGGCCATCCCTAGACTTGGTTCTTCCCCATGGACATGCAGGAAGGGCAGGTGAGGAATGAACATTAAATACTTGCTGTGTTACAGGTGCTCTCAGTACATTCACAGCCATCTGGTCATATAGGAATTGCTATTCCATTTAAAAGGTGAGGAGACTGACGCTCCAAGAGCTGGAAAGGGGCAGAGGTGGGCCAAGATCAAGTTCTCCCTGGGGCGGCACCATGCTCTGTGCTTGTCTCTACTCTCTCCTCTCCTTACTGGAAACAGGATCAGAACATCCCTTACCTGGTTCCCAATAGGGCCAGAATAGAGAACTGGATTATCAGTGTTTTGTGTGTGCATGTAGGGCTTGCAATATTCCCACAGTTGCTTGAGTCTCCCCATCTGGGCTCCCTCACTGTGGTATGTGGGGCCCCGGGAGCAGGAATCTCATCAGATCCCCTTTTCACCACCCTCAGGGGCCCTCTGTCCTCTGGAGAGCCCCGGGTCTGGTCTCTGTGGCCCCCACCAGCTGTGCGGCCTGCAGCAGGCCCTCCCCTTGGAATCTATAGTCTGTAAGGCTCTGGTGGCTGTCTTCAACTGGGGATGATGCCCAGGGGACCTATACTTAGCAGCTTCTTTTCCAGATTTTTTAATATTTCCAGAATCTCCATCTACCAGTCTCCCTAGCTTGCTCCCCCCAGGAATGGTCTAAAAGCAACCCCAGCAGCACAGCGACCCTGCCTTGGTTCTCAGGGAGAGGTGCTGCTTAGCCAAGATGAGTCAGGGTCCAGTTCCGTCTTGGTCTCCATGGCAACCAAGGGCCACCAGGCCCCAGCCCAATGTCCTCACCCCTCATTTCTCTTTTCTGCCCCTCCAGACCCAGCTCCTTTGTGGGTCAAGCATATTCCCTGCCACACATCTGCACACTCTGCGCCAGTGACCAGGGCTGCCTGCCCCTCCCCTCCCACCCCCATCCAAGGAAAGCAGCCCAGGGTGATGGAGGAGGCCAGGCTGAGGCCAGGCAGGCAGTCACGGATCTGGGTCCTGGCTTGGCCACTTTCTAGCTGTGGGACTTGGCACCTGTGCCTTAATCTCCCTGTAAACAGAAACGGTAACCCCTCCCCGCCCCCACCCCTCTACTGTGAGCATTAAATAGCAAAACCTTCTGGTTAGTTAATAGATAGTTATTAGCAGCAGCAGCACAGTGAAGGGCACAGTGGGCACTTGGTAATAGTGGCCCTTCTGTCACAGCCAGCACTCCGGGACTCCGAGTCCCCTCCCCGCCCCCAGCTCCTGACTGTCCACAAACGAGGTTCCAAAGCCTCCATCCAGCATCTTCCCCGTCGGGGCAGCCCCAACCTCTTGCTCCAGCCCTCTTTCTGCCCCCTCTGCAGCCCCTTCTCCAGCCCCTCACTCAGGTCCCTGCTTCCTGACACCCTTGCCTGTGCTCAGCCTACCCCCTGCCCAGAGCACCCTCCCCTTCCTGTAGGGAGTTCCCACTCGAGCCTCCCTCACTCTCCCGCCTGCTTGGGAGACCAGCTCTGCAGCCCTTGATGATTCTCTGATCCTGGTGCCCAGGAAACCGTGCTGTCATTCGGTAATCGAGTCTGTCGTCCACTAGACTGTGCCTTCCACCGGGCAGGGAACCAAGTCCCATCGTCTCTGTGTCCCCAGATCCCACGTGGCGTGGAGTCCAGCCTGGAGTGGGTACCAGCAGATGCAGGCCCCGGCCTGCTGCCCACCCCTCACTCATGCAGGGGCTGGTGGCACCGCGCGCACGCCGGACACGCGGGGTCTGTGAGGGCAGGCTGAGCAGCGAGATTTATAGAGGAACCCAGGGCAGCAGCGGGGTGAGTATCTGGAGCTGGGTCGGCAGGCTCAGGGCACGGCCAGTCTAAGCTGGGGGTCAGGAACCCATGGCCCCTTCACGCCCCCAGGGACACAGTGTAGGCGGCATGATGCGGGACACCCCAGGAAGGGCCAGGCATAAGGATGGGCTTCCCTCCATCAGCCCGGGACAGAGCTGGTGCTGAGGGCCCCGTCATTCCGACTGGGGTAGGGGTTTCAGGGACCAGAGTTAAGAGGGGAGGAGCATAGCCCATCCATCCAACATGTCCATCTGGTGTGGCTATGTGCCAGCGGGTAGAGTCCCACATGCAGAGCTCCCTCTGGGCTGCAGGAGGTGGGGGATCTAGGTGGGCAGGTGGGTGTGGCAGCCGGGGCCCTGGGGGAGCCTAGTCCAGCGGCCCCTGGAAAATGAGGCGGACGCAGCCATGCTCGCCAGTGAGCCAGGCCCCACAAAAGGGGCAGGCAGCATGGAAAGCGTGGGTGCCGTGGGGCAGCGGCGTCTGGGCCCAGTAGCGGGCAGTCTTCTCCGAACACACATGGCCACAGGGTGCAAAGGCATGGCTCGGTGGCCCGGGGTCCAGACAGAGGCCTGCCTCCTGGCCAAGCCACAGGGGAACATAGGGCCCCACAAGGCGACAGAGAGGACACTCGCGCTCCTGGGGGCCCCGCTCTCTCCTGCAGCCCCAGCCGTGGTAGCCGTGGACATGGCCACACCGGACGTAGACCCAGGGCTGCTGCTTGTCGGGTGCTGTGCGGCCCCGGGCCGGACTCGGGAAGGCCAGGGTGCTGAGGCCCACGGGGCACTGGGGCCGTGCCGCATTTGCCTCCTGCCGCTGGGCCTCCAGCTGCTTCAGCGTGGGGGCCCTCAGCAGCCCCGCCGGCGTGCGCCACAGCAGAGTGGCCCCACACAGGTCAATGAGGGAGCCGTCCTGCAGCACGTTGGACTCATTTTCCACCTGCCAGAGACAGCAGAAGGGCCTTACTGCTCAAGAGGCCGCTCAACCCCTGGCTGTTGGACGGCCATCCCCTCAGCCAAGCCACCTGTCCATCCCACCAAGCTTCCCTGGAGAACACACCCTGCACAGGGGGGCCAGTTAGGCCAGAGGAGACGGCAGGGCTGGGGCAGATGAGCGGCGAGGATGGAGGCAGAGGAGCCAGGAGGGCTGAGAAGCCACACAGGAGGGCAAGTCAAAGTCTCCAGGCATGCATTGTCCCTCACAGTGGGACAGGGACTTAGTCATGTCATTGGTCAATTCAGGAGATCTGGACCAAAATGAGGTTTCCCCCCAGGCTCTCTTCTAAGGGCACAAGTGGGAAACTCTTCTATCTGAAATCTGGGGACTCGGCCCAAGGCAGCTGTCCTCATGGCTGTGGCTAAAAACAAGGACTCTAGAGCTAGCCTGTCTGGGTGTGAATTCTGGCTTCACTGTCTGTAACTCGGCATCCCTGGTCGAGTAACTCAACCTCTCTGCATCTTAATTTC